GATAAGCAATTTATTATCAAATCACAATTAGTATGGTTTGGGCTATGTAGTTAACTAATGCTGCATAATATTTGTATGAGTGTGCATGAATATGGGGGCAGGGGAGTCACCTCCCCGATCTCAATTTTTTAAGGGGGATCGTCGTCCCCCCCCCCCCGGAAAATTTGAAAAAAGTGCCAAAATAAATTGTATAGCAAATACTGACTAAAGACTGCCAAACACTTTTTGGCTCTGGAGGGCCCAATAATGCTGCGTTTAAACTAATAACAATGCAAAATCTTCTCGCTCGGTCGCTACGCTCCCTCGCATAATATCCTTCCATCACCTTCGTCCCTATCGTTCTCTGCGCTCCCTCGTCCCTCGCATTTTGTCCCCCCTCCCGGTCATGAAAAGAAATCGCCGCCCCTGCTTCTGGCTAGACAATATAATTCAGAGACGGAGGATCAGTAGCCAGAAGTCATTAAGGGTACAACAAATATACTGTAGGTGCAGCCTGCGTGAAATAGAATGAAGTTCAAAATGTCCATTATTTGAAAGCATCTTATATTTCTTTGGAGAGCAGATAACTTCAGAAAATGATTGTGATGGTGATGATGGCGATGACGAATCAAGTGAAATAGTGAATGAACCACTATACCACGACACATCCACATGTTGATGTTAAGCATCATTATCATCATAATGATCATCATCATAACCTTCAACAACATCATCACCATCACCATCATCACCATCACCACCATCACCATCATCATCATCATAAAAAGTCTAATCGTTATTAGATTTGCAGTTCTTCATGCCGTATCTCGTCCAAAATGTAATCCTTAATTTTTCTCCCTCGCAAAATGCAGAAACTTATATATTTATATTCGTGCAAGAGACATTACCCCCTCCCCCACTCCTCCTCCCTCCCCTCTCCCACTGGCGAAATTGAGTCCGTACGCCCATACGTTTGTATTTGTGTTATTTTCCTTAAAACTGTTCAACCATATTTATTACCAGGAAGAGACTAGTGAAAATCTGCTGTTTGAATATATTCGGGAATTGAGAAGTAGATTGAATAAATCACAGCCGATAATGAATGCCATCTGCTGTAATTTGCACCTCTTGCGGGTTTCGACGGAATACAATGAATAGTGATGGGAAATGTGCAAACCGCATGGGTCGATTAGGGGAAATCCCTTTTGCAGCTTGAAGCAGGCAGGTGAAGCTATAAGTTGCTTGCTTACTAAAAAAAGAAAATCAATAGAGCGCCCCTTTTTCAGGGAGGGGTAAAACAAAATGGTCGAACATCAAGATTTAGAATAGAGACAGCGTGAAGTAGACTTGGAAAAAACATAGAAAGAAAAACCCGACCGCAAAAAAATCCACTGAAGAGCATTTTCGATACATTATTGTATGTGTCATAAATTGTATTCGGATTAAGCAATAAGTCATTGAAAATGTTTGCACAATTTGATGGGGGTGGGGAGGGGGGATGCCTTGGATTGGTATTTGAAAGTCAGTTTGTTTGACTCTCGACTCAATCTCTTTCAGACTGCTTTCTCCCTCATTCTAGTAATCTAATTTACTTTTTCTAGAGCTTTTGCAATCATTCATTTTCCCTTTTTTGTATCTTTCTTTCTTTTTGCCTTTTACTATTTTCCTCCATTTTTTCCTCTTTAAAAAAAAATTCCCCCAAAATCTAAAATTTCTTAGCTACATATTTGTCTATTTATTGATTTCTAAGCATACTTTGTTCATGTTATATTGTAAAACAGCATCTGAGGAACTAACACTTCAACAAGCTCTGCTTCTAGTTAGTTCCTCTTTTCTCATGCTTTTTCTATTATATTTGTCGTTTCATTGCATACTTTTTGTGATATAATTATTCATTGTATTTTGTTTTGCATGAGAAATAAAATCATTTGAATCAAATTGAATCAAATTAAAGATGAAACCCTCATTTTTAATTGCTTGCATCATAATTTCTGTAAATTAAAATACAGGAGTAAGACAATACGTGTACACAAGCCTAGATACGTCCGAGATGTATTAAGCGCAACATAAAAGCGAAATACTATTTGTTGATTATTTATATATATAGAAACAACAATCTATATGAATGCAGACACTCCAAATAACCTTCGTCAAGTAAAATTGATTCCAAGTTTCTCGTCAGGATTTTTTGGAAATGAGGAGGGGTTCTTTGTTGTTTTAGATTCGATATTTTTGTCTTGTAAATAATGATATTGGGTCACTTTCAACACAAATTTCATTACTTTAATTTCACTTGCAGATGCGCTTCAGAGAATTAAAACATGGTGCATTTGCATTCTACATTATAATTTTTAGTTACCGCAGTGTCTACACGTCCTCAGGTTCTTAGTTATCATTTCATAACAAAAATAACAAATAACAATGAAAAAATAAGACGTAGGAGTGGACTGAAGAGTAGGATATGATTTTTATTTGGCCTTATGTGTGAAATATTCAGCCATTTTCTTCTCCGCTTGAAAATGGTAACAATATCTGTCATAAGTCATCTCGGTTTCTCTTCTCAATTTCGCAAATAATATTATGCGGGATGAATATATTATAGCCCGCGGGGTATGGTCTTGGGACGGGAATACGAGTAGCTAGAGCTCTGCATGGGAAGCCAATAAAACTGAAATTAAAGGTATATATCCGAAGAGTTAGTATAAGATTAGAACGACTTGTATGAAAAATTCATTATTTTTTAAAGGACCATTAATATGGAGTCGTATACCTCAGGGAATTAAAAAATGCAAAACTCTCATATACGAGTAGCAAGAGCTCTGAGAAGCCAATAAAACTAAAATTAAACGTATATATCCGAAGAGTTGGTATAAGATTAGAACGAATTGTATGAAAAATTCATTATTTTTTTTAAAGAACCATTAATATGGAATAGGAAATTAAAAAATGCAAAACTCTCAATCTTTTTAAAATTAAATATAAACAATTTCTGTTAAATAATGATCAGTATTAATAGCACGGGCAAATTTTGACACTTTTTTTTACTCTGATCGTGCATGATAGTAAGTTTTAGTATGTTCTTTGTTTTTTGTTCTGTTCTTTTGTTCTCGTTTTCCTGTATGTGTGTTTTTTGGGGGTAGGCTTTTATATAAGGAATCCCTCCTTTCTGCCTATCCCAAATGCTCTTATAAATTGCCATTGTGTTTGTTATCACTTTCTTGTTGTTTTTTATAACTCCATTCTGTATTTGTATGTTTTAAATGTTCTTATGAAGAGCGTTGAATAAATTTTAAACCGAATTGAAATCCCTTTGCGCAAGCCAACTGTTATTCGATGTTGTTTTGTTTTGGTGTACTAAAGGAAGTTGCAGTTGTGTTAGGCGTAACAATTAGATGTTCATGGTGTATAGCATATTATTATTTATTACAAAGATATACAAACTGACAGTGCAGTAAAACAGAGATTACGGGGCATATTTTTCCCCGTTATGTTTAGTTGTTTACAAGTCTGTCTTAAATTTATGAAGACGATTTAAATTTCTCTTTCCCATGAAATTATATTTACTTTTCAAATGCGTAATATGAAAACAACAACGCCATTTTTGAAAGAACATTTTGTGTAATTCAAGAAAATTTAGAAGAATGCATTAATGTAGGCCTAGTATTTTATTTTTGAATGTATATAGTTGAGTTACTGTGTTTAGAATGTAAGAAACACATCCCTTGAATCTTAAAGAATATCTCGTTTGATAAGGAGAAATTCAATGTTCAATTATACACATACCATAAATCCATAACCCTATATCACTGTTATCAATTTTTGTGGAAACTAGAGTGGTTTATATTTTGAAAATAATTCTATACCAATGTCTTCTACAAAATAACTTGTTGCAAAACACTTTCTGTATCAAAGTGTTAATATTGTATTTCCATAAGTTAATTAATACGTTGCATATTATAGAGGACTTGAAAGGTACTATGTCCCATTTGCAGGCCCGAAAATGAAAAGGTTAAATTCCAACTGCATTTGAAAGATAATACTTATTTAGAACTTCCCTAAACAAGGTGGGGCTTGAAAATGTCTTCAAGAGGGAAAATAATGACTATAAGTTGTCAAATCGACTTTAGGGCTATAGAGCCCAAAAGTAATAGTCTTGATTTTCAGACAATTGTACCGAATGGTCATATGTTTTATGCTGCGCAAAGATTCAATCAGTTTAACACAAGAAGTGGGTTATTGATGTAGACAAATGCTCATGTACCCTTTACAACTCTTTTCATGGATGTTACTACCAAAGAAGAAAAAAGCCAGTCAGTCACTCAATAGTGTCTGACAGTGAAGTCTAGCAAATGGGTTTCCTTGCATAATTTGAATATGAGGACACTGCTAACGTTTAAATTTCACAGATAGGACATACATGGCATATTCATAATTCCTGCAAAGTTCTACAGAATTTGAGGTTGGCTGCAAAAGGGACGTAGTACCTTTAATATCATACTCCATTTCATATGATGATTGCTTTTCAGACTTTTAAAGCATATGAGAAGGTGCTGTACCAAAATAATATATTATTTTATACGTAAAGCACTGATATTGATTTATCAAAACAATTGTGAGGGTTTTACACACAAGTCTCTATAACGGACGACAACAACTCAGATACAGGCTAAGGCCATAAGTGGAACCCACTGTGACCCCTGCGTGTATTCATTATTCCCATTGATGTGTGAAGGAAATATTAATTCAAGGGAAATCCCAGAAGGGGTTGCTACTTCCTTTCACGAAAAGCCAAGCAAAACAAATGCGTAGTCATAACAAAAACATAAAACTAGAGCTGCAAATCCGACACGCTACATCAACAAGTCTATTGTGTCTTGAATAAAGAATAGTCGGCACAACGGGGAAATCCCCGATTTTCCCCTCTTTCGCACGCTGGCTGGATGTGTGTGTATGGTGTGAGTGAAGCTTGAGTGTGTACTTAGAATTCGACCGAACGCATATTGTTTTTGACAGAGCGCACGTGATACAACGGCTTGTCAAAGTGTTTTCTTCGTCAGAAAGAATTCCATCAACCTCTCTCTCTCTTCTCCCTCGCTCTCTTAAAAGAAAAAAAAAGTGTGACGATTTCTGTCAATACTTTACTTTTTTAAGCTATCCCTGGAGAATAAGAGAACTCAACGGGTGTAATCACCAGTGCGATATAAAATAAAAGAGCCTGTGAATTATCAGACGGTCTCGTTTATTACTTGAAGCCGGGAAATAATTGCCCAAGTTTCCATTCGTTCGCGCTGCACCAATCAGCGCACAGATTTTCTAATTGGCTCTCGTGGGACCAGCGCCGTGTTTCGTGACGACAAAGCTTTGATGTCATTTTGCATTTTGTCCCTGATTAAGTTTTTGATTAACGCGGTGCTCATGTGCCTTCACGCAGTTGAGTAACAGCTGCCAGTTGGGATTAATTTCAAGACATCTCAGAAAGGACGACGACATCCACTCAAAGACAAAGAAAAATTACTTTTCGTGAAAATAAATCCTCTCCATTACTTCCGAATCGCGAAAAATTCAAACATCGATCTTTCCACCACTCGCGCTTGAAGCCGACATCGCTCCGTCTTGGTTAAGTTGTAGACCTAATTATCCAGGAGGAATCGGAGCAACTGAATGTTTTACCCAAATGCTTATCTTCGAGAACTTCTACCTGGGTGCCTGTTTTTTCTGTGCTATGGACGCCACGGATTTGCTATGGATCTCGGTCACGGTAAACGTCTCCGCGGCTCTTTTCTTCCTCTCCCGGGCACTCATCGGGCGCTTGGCGGCCAGATGGCGGGATGCGATCGAGGACAAATCCGTCTGGCGCTCCGTAGTGGATAAGCACGAGGACGAACCTTGGAGGTTTCCCAGATTGTAAGCACTTGTAATGTTCTTGTAATTTCTTGTAATGTTGTCCTGCTATCGAGCTGAAATAACAAACACTTTGATTTAATTGAACTAAAATCAAACAAATTTATTAATTTTATCTAATTTTCAAGACCGAATTTTCAAATGAGAATTATTAATTTTGTTGGGTGCATATAATTATGGCTTCCTGATCCTAAAGTAATTCTAATTTATATCATTGTTTCTGTTTATTTTTTCTCTCTCCATTCTCTTATCGTTATCAAAGTAAAAAAATCATAAAAGAGATATTATCATTATTTTCGTTATAAAAATATGCTAAATAAGGATATACAAGACATTCATCCTCTTATCTTCAGAGGCCCTATTACAAGTTTTACAACTACAATAGTATATGAGATCGAATAACTAGTGTTTAGAAACCAGTGGAAATGAATCTACTTTGTTGAGGTTCCTAGCCCACCCTTTTTTTTTGGGGGGGGGGGGGGAGGAGGAATATCCCTTCCTATTTCTTCCTCCGTATTTTTGTTCTTATTATTAGACCTGCGCGATAATTTTTTGTATCATAACATTTACTTCGACGATCAAAATGTGCCACTTATATTTATCTGCACGTTTTGTTTTTGACACTGAGCCAAAAGTCTACGCGCATGTTTTCTGTATTAATCTTTGATAATAAGTAATCCAATCTTTGAGGATGATAAACTGTTATGTTGACAAAAACAAAGTTTATCGGTACGGGCTGGCACTCATGCAGGGCGTTGGGGAAATATGTTTGTATATACTTAAGAAAATACCCGTTTTCTTCCTACAAACCTTACACAATAGACTATTCACAGTTTCGCACATGTTTTGTGTGTTCTGATTCCTTATTTTTACTTCATTATTTTGCTTCTTTTTTTTCTTCAAACTTTATTTCGTTTATTATCTCATTTAATTCAAGTGTATCCTGGTTATCATACTAGCTTATTAAGTCTCATCACTGAACCGAGGAATTTGATCTTTCCCTTATTGTAAAGTGATATAGTCGTGGTTCGGGAAAATCCTGTTTTAACGAACTCAAGACCAAGAGAATGATTCATACGGACGGATATAATATACCTTTTCCTTTTAGAATATTGCAATATAGAACCGAGGACTATCTTTGGACTTGGCGGTAATTCGTTATTTCAACACTTCCTTCTTTCGAGATTACTTCATTTATTTCGCAATAGTATATAGTTTCATTCTTTACGGTATATAAATCAGAAATAGGCTACAATCGAAGGCTTTACTTGTTCTAACAATGAGAGCCTGTGTAACTATATACATGTATTAATATAGCTCTTCTTGGCTTTCGGCCGGATGACATTGGCTGATAATGAAAATAATAATACTGATAACAAGTATAATTATGAGAGAAAAACAAGTACAATTATCGATTTCACCATTTTAATACCAATACTAGTTATAATATTATCAATACTACTACTACTACTACTACTACTACTACTACTACTACTACTACCACTTCTACTACTACTACCAACAATGATGATAATAAAAGTAATAATGATAATGATAATAAAAAAAATACAAATAATAATGATAAGGACAATAATGATAGAAATAGTTAAAATGATGATAACAGCAAAGTAGTAATGACAATGATAATACTAATAATAATAGTAATAATAATTATGATGATGATGATATAATGATAATAACATTATTATGAATAATAATAAAACAAATCAACAGGTTCGCTTACAAGTTCTATTTGTAACACTATGCTAACATTCATTTTTGTATTAATGTGGAGCAAACTACATGTATATTTGCATTTTGCCACTGCTTTACTCTTGCCCCAACCGTATATTATCGAATATATTTCCTTTCGCTATCAAAAAACGTAACATAACATCCATTGCAAATTCCATTGACTTTGTTCTTCTTCTTCATTTCAATTCATAAACCAGGACGTAGCTTAGTGCAATATTTGCGATTCTCTTCCATTCATTTTTTTTCTTTTCCTGAATGTCAACACAAGCACAGAGCCTCTATTTTTAGAGCACAATTGATAGGCTATATTGAATTTGAGTGGGTAATTCCATAAATGGGGATATCCCCACGGATTTCGAGGTTACTTGTTTTTCCGAAGGTTCATAAATTTCCTACACGCAAGTTTCTCGTACCTAAGGGGTGCATAATTCCGAAAGATATATGACGCATTTAAATGAGAAAAAAAATAGTAACGAAATTCATTATTCCGAGAAATAAAGGGGTTCATTATTCCGAAAATGAAATAAAGATTGTAATTTCGAAAATGACATATGGTTCCCTAATCTCAGGTGTGGGGATATAGTGCACGTATTCCAAAAGGGAAATACTGTTCATTTATTTCAGAGATTTGTAATTCCGAAAACGAAACATTCCGAAGACGATACATTTCTGAATTATGAGCCTTGGTTTCGACGGGTATTCCCCGACGGTTCTATACAAGTGTGGTTGCCTGTGGTTGTAATACAAAGCACATTCCAAATATTTACGGGAAAGGACTAAAGTTTCCCGTCATATTGCGATTTTATGATGTCATATTTTTTCAGGTTTGGACTCTTTCGCATTGTTTTCGTGAAAAAAACCTATGTAAGATGCATTGTAAATGACAAAACAACATGCATGTTGTGAGAGAAACCTCCTTAGGCGAATTCTTAGCCTCAATTTCTGGCTAATGTGAAAAGTAAAGTCATAAACTCACCATGGACGTCATAGGTCGTAGGTCATAATTATTGAGGAAGGGGGCGTCCGACCAAGTTTGCTTAAGGCGAAAGAAAGGTCCTTACTTACTTATGTATTAGCATTCTAATTTTTCGACATGTTTTTTTTTTTAGAGTAGCCGACAGATATTTCTGGAACTACGCTTTACAAGTTTTTTTTTAGCAAACTGTTTTTGTAGTTTTCATTCTCTTTAATCACATATGTGTACACATTCGGTATACAAATACCTCAGTAAACATTACATCGGGGTATTTCACAATTTTGTGTACGTATACTTTTCGTCGTAATGTATTTTTTTAACGTTTCTAAAAATATGATATTTGTAATTTCATTTTCAACCATCAGACATGCAAATTATCATTTTGAACGTATTAAGTATATTTATTGTTATCTTTATTATTTTGATAGTGTATAGTGCACAACTCAACATTACGATACAACGCATTAACGTTTTTAAAATAGAGTAAATACAATTTTTAATTGAATTGGATTGAACATTTTACACTGGTTATAACATCGTCATTGTAAATGACACCCCTCCAGGCAACGTACCAAAAATTGATTTTAAAAATACCAAATTAATGTTGCGTTATAGTGAAGTGAAATAAACTATATAACATAATATAGCAAATTAATCAAGTTTCATATTCATATTCAAGGAATACTTTTTATATATTTCTCTAAACAAACCCATGATAAGAATGTTAAATTTAATTGGATTGCGAAGCTATGGTTACTGACAAATAAACATATAGTTCCATTGAGGAAACCCTTTACCCATGCAGAGAAAATCCTTCATATTGAGAAAAAGACTTCTAGGCCTAATTCATCCATGCAACAAAACAATGCACCGTATGAGGAAAAAAGAAAATCCATTTAAACGTCACCCTTCTTGGAGTCTTGAAAGGAGTTCGTTGAAAGGAAATCAATATGTCGAGCCTTGGGAGTCACAGGCTGCGGATCAACAAGTGAATAGGGGAAACCCCCGTCTCCTTTCCGGTATACTGTCCAATTAAATTATGGGGAAAATCCTGTCGGAGCGTTCGAGTAAAATGCATTCAGGAGAAGAAAAGAAAAGAAATCTGACTATTCTTATATTAACACAAGATAAAGATGTTTACTTTGTATGCATACACGGGTACATTGTTGTTACCTGTTTGTCTCCACACCCTGTATTGATTTAATCTGTCTCAAAGTCTCCTTTTTATCTTTATTATTTGATTAGAATTGAGAATCATGTGAATTTTTCTTGGTTATATTTTAAATGTGTTTTTAAATAGAAATTACCGTCATGTATACAAATAATGTAATTTTACCCTAAAGAAAAACTGAAGATAATGCATATTTAATGGGAAGTCATGCTACTTTGATAAGGAAACTTAATTACGTTTGCTTTGACGTATACAAGAGGGACTAAATGTTCTATGTACACAATTAGGAAATCATATCGTCAAAAGGGTAGCCTTCATTTGTGGGCATGTTTGTCTGAGATAACGGCACGATGATTTAAATCGGGTATGATTCAATTTTCTGCGCGCTTTGTTCCTTGTAGTTTCAATTGATTTTTTCCCGATATCGGTTCGTTCTTCAATATTGCAAGCAAGACAAAACGCTCCAGTATACGCTATGTCTTCAATAGTCGTCTTCATTTGTGTCTGAAAAGCAAGGGGTCACACTTTGAAATAATGATAACAGGGAATTTCGTTTCAAATATCGCAAGTTTATTTATTTATCATGTTGTATTGTATAGGATCATAGTGTTGATCGGGGGGGGGGGGGGTGGGTTAAAGGGATATGGTTCTCAACCGGCGTACGGGGGGGGGGGGGGGGACTGTACTAAATTTTTGGAGTGGGGGAAGAGAGCGGAGGAAGATGGAATGCTATGCCCTTTTGAGTAGATAACGGTATAACCGTGAAGCATTTAATAGCTACATGGTATAACGGTGGATATTCCCTTGAGTGTATATGACTGAGTACACATATATTTACATAGCTATGGGCAATTTCAATAGGGCAGGCAGATCGTATCGAGATTCCAGGTTCAACTTTAAAAGGGTTATTTCCGTCATCTTAAAAGGTTTTTTTTCAGATATTATTGCCTGCTTATTTCGTGAACTACCCGTTTAATTCTGTAGAAATATGTTTGTGGCTTGACAATAATATCACCTGCAATGGAATGCAACATCCTTTAAAATGAAATTTTGCGTTATATTTGTGAGGATCATATTTTTTCCTTCATATTCATTTATCATTCACTCAGGGTGGAATGGCATAACCTTGTTAGCAAATGCTGCTTTTCACAGGAATCGATGAAATGTCAAGCAGAAGTTTTTTTTTGTAAAGTGGAATTACTGAACTACCCGCTTTAATCTGTAGAAATATGTCTGTAGCTTGACAAAAATGTGACCGGTAATGGAGTGCAACTTCCTGTAGAATGAAATGAGAGTTATATTTGTATGGATCGTATTTTTTCCTTCAAATTCATTTATCTTCAACTTATGCTGCATTTCACAGGGATCGATGAAATGTTAAGCAAATAAAGAAAAGCTATTTTTTTTTATGAAACAGGAATTCCCTGAACTATCCTTTTAATTCTTTAGAAATATGTTTGTGGCTTGCCAAGAATGTTACCGGAAATGGAATGTAACATCCTTGACAGTGAAATTTCGCGTTATGTTTTGTGAGTTTTGTATTTTTTTCTTCAAATTCCTTTGTCTTCGAATTGTGGCATGGAACACACTTGTCACGATCACAGAGATCGATGAAATGTTAAGCAAAGCCGGAAAGAGAAACAAAGAGGGAAACTATAAATTGAGAATTTACTCTTTTACTCTCTCTGAAGTAGAGAACTCTGTCTGAACCAAACACATTTACGAAATAAGATTGCATTGGAATCTTCAATATTTCATCAATACCGTACTATTTCGGGGAGGCATGCCCTGTTTAACGAAAAAAAAGTGAAAAAAAGGCAAAAAGGGGAATATTAAGAAAATGGATGGAAAACATCAGAGTAGGGGATTTTTTTTTCTTTTTAGTACAATGAACATATAGTTGGAAATTGTATTTTTGGTAGAGGCCAACGGAAGAAAGGGAAGCTCAGAGGGATATGGTTTTGTTTAAGGATACTAACACAGGTGAACCGCAGGTGAAGGCAAAAGTCGTGGAAAGTTTGAGGAAATAGTTGGATTGACTTAATGCAGTGTTTATGTTGTATGGTAGTAGTAGCAGCACATGAGACGACAGGGGGGGGGGGGTAGGGGGGTAGGGTAGTGGCTGTGTAGCAGTGAGATAGTGTCTTTTATAAAAATATATTTTTTGCATCTTATCTAGTATATTTTTAAAGCGAAATTATGTTTTCACTAAAATAAAGTGTCATATTTGTATTGATATATTCACTATAGCTGTCTAAATTGTAGAAAATAAGAAAGCGCTAAGATACTTCAGGGGAAAGCGCTTTATAAGCACCGTTTTTAAAACATCATTATTATTATTAAGATTAATAATATTTGGGGTTGAGATGTCTGACCCCCCCCCCCCCCGGCCCCCCGACGAAATCGTACCTGCATACACGTATGAATAGTTTAACCGTCTTGGGATAACATTACACCCGAATGAGGATATGAATTTAGTCAAAGATTTCGAAAGGAGACAATCTTTTTTCCCTTTCTTTTTTATATCTATACCCTGCAACGAGTCACACCACTTTCTATATGCAACCACACCTAATCATTTACGGATGTGGCACATTAATTTTGTTCAACCTTAAATAAAAACTCTATTCCTCGTGCTACCTATTTAAGTATTAGAGTAGTATTTTTAAACGAAAAGCAATAAATCAAACCCCATTTTTAGTACATACGGGGGATATTAAAGCATAATGGAGAGAATAAGCTGTTAAAAGAAGAGGAAATTATATATATATTGGCGCCTGACTATGCGCTCTTATAGTTAACATGCAAATTTGATTGAGAAAATGAAGATTTGTAGAAGCAATGTTTTGAAGGAAAGAAAGTAGGCATCTCATTACTTTCGACATTTCTACTCGAGGATAATTTATCATATCTGCATTACGTATGACGTCATTATAATATTCACATTACGTATGACGTCATTATAATGTTCGCATGACGTTCATTCGTGATCTATGAGCGATATGTTTCATCGCACTAAATGATGTTGTATTTCTTCTTCTTTCTATTTGCAGTTGCATTGACGTAGTTCAAAGCGCCGCAATGACGATTGCTGGATTCACCATCCTGTGCGTCGATGACGTCATTCATCATCCCTTCAGGGGTACCTTCAGTAACATCACCAAGATAGGTTTCGCCATCGCCATCGGCTGCTACATCTACCGCACCTTCCAGGACTCTATTCTCCACACCAAGGTCAAGCATTTCAAGGTCGATTTGGTGCACCATCTCGTCACCATCGCAGTTTATGGAGTGTTCCTGACGTACCGCGAGAACGCCCTCTTCGGAGCGATTGGTCTGATATGCACCGGAAGTGTGCCCAGCGTGGAGATGACGAGGCTGTTGAAGGTGGTGTCTGAGGCAAGCGGGAAACCCACCACACTGATGGGTTCCTACCGATGGAACCTGCTCATCGGAGCCGCGATTACATTCGTTGTTCGGCTCGTGATTCCCTTGATATTAGGTACTTTCGCCATTGTCACGACTTCACCGTTGACAATGTCCATACCGGTTGTTGCTTTCTTTTTCACGTCCTTGATGTTCTTCGGTTCAATCAACCTCTGGCTATGTGGCATGGCCATCCTAGCCATCCACAGGCGCAAGAGACGATACATGAAGGATGTCTACGTGAGCGCGTTGGATGGCCAAAGCAGAAAGACATTCCCGACCACGCATGCGCAACAAGCCACAATTCTTGCCAAACAGAACCCCATCAAATCGAGGCTTACGACTCCTTGTGCCAATGTGAACCTTACCCCTTCCATTCAAACCCTAACGAAAATGTCAAATAACCATTCGCTGCCCAATAACTATGTCAAGGTGCCTGTGAATGAGGCCCTGGTCCTACCTTTCAGGGACAGTTTCAGATACCAAAGGGGTAGGTCTTCAGAGGAGTCGAGTCAATCCGGTAGCAACCGAAACTCGGGGGAGCTGATGGTTGTTGAGGGTGCTGTGGATCGGCAAAGAGCTGTTCGGTTCATTGTGCCAAGGTCAACATCAAGTCGAGACTCGGTTACATCACTTACTAGCGCTACCACCGCTTCTCCAAACAATGGGGGATCACCGCAACCCGTAGCTCGGCGAATGGACCAAACACTTAGTGGAAGAACTCGTGCGTCATCCTCTATGACAGACGCGGATCCGACGCCCACCACCCCCGCGACAGTTTCACCGGCAACGATTGTTACATCAACTAACACGAGGCCGCTTCCAGCACCAACATCAACTCCATCACAACTGTCCCTTGGTGATCCAATACCAAGTCCAATGTTAACTTTAAGTACAAGTACGGAACTGAATCGGAAGGAAAGGACACCAATTACGCAGTCGTCTTCATCCACTCGGCGAATGCATGCGCATCGTCCTACACAGGCAAACATGAGTTTGGATAACCAAACGACCGTTGCACTCTCGAGTTCGCGGTTGTCATCGAGACCGAACCTCGAGAGCGTCAACGATGAAGTGCAAGATCGGCGGAACTCTACGCCGTCGAGTAGATCACAAATTCTGAACACGATGAACAATCTAAACGGACCAAATACTGTATTATCAGGACATAACACTGGAAATGGTTGACATCCACAGCTATATTTAATGATGATGAAACTGTGACGTTTAAATAATAAGACGTATTTATATAAATATTTATTACTTCTTGCCCATTCCTGTATGCCAATTAATACTGGTGTTAGTCTGCGTCAATTGAAAGCGTTTTTTCTTTCCTTCATTTTGTATTGGGTTCTCCAACATATTACCTTGCATTGTTATCATATTTTGTTAATCGATTGAGGAATTACATGGAACTTGTTTCCTCAACACTGTGCAAGACAGACATCAAGTATGCTCGTCGCACAATAGGCGTCACTTTCCTGACGTAGAATTGCGTCAATGACTAGCGCAACCTTTGACGCGCAAGGTACGAGTAATATGGTACAATACGTGATTGAAAAAATGAACGGTCCCAAAACTGCGTCGACTTAATGGCGCATGCGCTATTTCTTTCCACATGCGTCATTAGTTTAGGATATAATAACGCAAATCAAAATGACGCTCTATGACCATCGCGCATTAGTAATGTTTATAAGATGATGACGTAGATCCTAATAAAATGATTGGTTGAAAGCGTACACGTGACCAGGCATTTATTTTGCCTAACACGTAATTTGGGTAATGACCGGTCATTAGCGATCATGTTTTGCGATCGCAATCATTGAGATTTATCGTATTACTTTTACTCACGAAAATGGCTGCCGCGGAATTTAAAATGAATAATATCTAAGTTAGATCTAGGCCTAGATCAGTCATAGATGTGGACCTAGAATTAGTCATGTACGGACTTTGACTGAGATGACGGCGATTTATCATATAACAAGGATCCAAGTAATAATTTTATAAAACAAATAATACATAGCATTTTGTTCGAGCATTAGTAAAATTACCAACACTCGGTACCTTGTATGGGTAATTCTTACTAATGCCCTCACTGCATGCAGTGCATTGTTTGTCTAATATTATCTAGTCCATTGTATTTGTATACATTTATTTTCCTGTCCCATACGTTTACAAATATTTTGGCGCCTAGTTAAAATCGAAAGTAGTGTTCCCCTCACTCTTTCGTCTGACCCGAGCTCTAATGGCGCCATCAATCATCAGACTATTATCTTTGACGTAAACCGTAGCATATGGGACAAATATCCCAGACTTAGCCGCATACGTCACCAACCGTGGTGACTTAAAGATAAACTCCCAGTTCTGGTAAAAAATGAAAATTAATTCTCACAGAATCAAACAAAACTTACACTGAATGTTCAAGATTACAAATAAATGACATGTTCCAAACAATTTTGGAAGAAAATGTATGCTGGCTGAGTAATGAGCATAGAAAGACAAGGAAATCAAGGTAGTACTAGCACCGACACCATGTGTGTTGTCCCATATATAGCTTTCTGTGTACAGTGCTTGTTACTTTACCATATCCTTAAACTGCTGGCGAACAGAGCAACAAGACCAAGCTCTGTAATTATTAGGATCTCTGTCCAGTAGTGCCGTGTTTGTGCCATCTAACTGGATCGACCAAATCAATTGATTCATAATATATGTATATGCAATATTTTTTCCCGTAACATGAGAGTAATTTTAATAGTTTCATACTATTAATTAAATGTATTGTTAACTGTAACTGTATAATTGTTTTAAATGGGGGCACGCTACAAGAGTCCTATCTCGCACCCCGGGGCAACGTGTCTGACACGGCCGGTTGTAGCAACTACTCCGAAGATCAAGATTACAGTAATCTTGATCTAAGGAGACACGAACGAACGAACTTTACCAAGACTCGGCCAAATTTATTATGATTTTGATGACTCCAGAACCTTGCAGTGCACACCAATACTTACATGCTACATGATCAACTGTTTCTGATCCATTCCACACCGTTTCTTTCACAATGTATTGGCATTACCAGTACTCACCTTTATCTTTAACCGCTGAATATGGTGACAAATCCAACATTTTGTCATGACTTCTCTCTAAAATAAAACAACAGCCCTTTTTTTCTTTCGAGAAGAACATTACTTGTAATCACAAAGCATCATGCGATCTATAGGATAAATAAATAATGTATACTTACATTGATTTGGAATACGATTGTCGTCGAACGGTCTCCTTGGCAACTCAATGTGATAATGTGGTTGAAATATACGTAATCAGGGATTGTGATGAATTCATTAATATTTGATGTTGTTTTCTCCTCGTAAATCTCTAGAGGCAAAACGCCTTTGTCTTTGATAACAAAGCTGTCATTAGGGACTTTTAGATTTGCACAAAGACAACGTGGATTGCTACGATCGACGTCCTTTTAATGCACTGCCTTGAATGGACGTCACACGTATCAGTCCACGCAAATTTAAAAGTCCTATTTAATTCGTTTGCCGACAAGAGGTAATAATGTAGCAATGTGAATACATTGTGGTTATTGTTTTTTTTAAATCCCAACTTATAATAACAATAAATGTAAGTTTTATAGCGCCAAATACACTCTGTTAAGTGCACAAGGCGCACGTAGAAATAATTAAGAATAAACAGAAGCGTTTTTACATGATTTATAAACCAAGGTATTATGTTTTTTATTCTTAGATGTTGTATTTTAATACGAGCTATTTGAAAATATTAATCGACAAAGTATCTATACTCTATATGCACAACATGCAGAATAACGCAAATTATGTAAGTACTTGAATAATCTGATATAGTATATGATATAACTCTATCGACCTATATTCACACGGATGCAAACATTGTCATGCAGTTTTTTTTGTAATTCTGTTATACGTTGATGCTATGTCAGGAACATTAACATAGGATTATTCTTCATACTTCGTTCTGTAGCTATATCATTCGAAGCAATTTGTGTATCACCAGCATTTAATACATACCAGGAATATATTGCGTTAAAAAGCATAAAAACCTCATAAATCCATACAAAATGTTTACAATTAAGAACATAGTAAACATGAAATAAAATAGAATGAAATAACAGCATAAATTAGATAGAAGGCTTATTATGGTTGATATATTTATGACTTAGGATATTGGTTTGTTTTTGTACCTAGTTTGATCTCTTATCTTAAATGGCGTTTGTTATAGTTTTAATAATTATTTTCGCACTGGCGTATCCAGAGGCATCCAGGGGTACGCCCCTCAGCGTCTTAAAGGCCATGGATAAATACAATTTAGACATGCGATGTTTCGGTTTACAGCTCGCGGGGCTGCCCAAAGGCGTACACCCTGATCCCCGTATTGGGGGCTTTGAGTGGGGGTCCGGTCCGCCCCCTCTTTATTTAGCTATCATGTATACGCCCATGTCTTCTTGGATTTGTGACCGATTGCCACAATCCTTTTATAATGTGCAATTTATTGCGTAATATTCATTGTAAATTCTCCTTTTTGTATAAATATTTAAAAGGGAATGCAAGCGGAGCACTTAACGTATGTGTTTGGTGACAATCCACAGGCAATTTACAAACATTTTCACGGGTAGGGATAAACTGCTACTTCAAAGAGTTATGTAATAATTGAGTGAGAATCGGTCAAATAAAGGGAAAAAATGAATATCAATAATGTGTTTATTGCCTCATTATTGTACTACGAATACCTTCAAGTTTGAGTAGAAATTCTTGTGTGGTTTGGAACAATACGAGTAAGCAAATATACATTAGCACTTTTTCATGATAATAATAATACACAACATTTATTAGGCGCTTAATACAGGTGTCTCTAAGCGCGTCATTGTCTAATTGAAAAATTATTTACCAAAACTTATAATAAACACACAAATTATAAATCTGTTCTTTATTCAATAAATCATGCAGTTATTATAATTATAAAAATTAAGAATGAGATCAAACATACATAAGGCCAAACATAGGAACAAACATAAGATCGAACAAACAAGATGACATCATCGATGACATATTAAAAATAAAAGTTGATACCTTTTTTAATTATCGATGTCCCACTAAGAATCAGAGGCTACATGAAAGAACTCAAGATTGCAGAGGAATTGAATTTCAAAATGTCACAAGTTAATGATTAAAGTCATATAACGACAGTTATTGTTTAACAATGTTAGATCTGAAATGCATGGCCCTACACGTGTTATCAGTGTCTGTGAAATGGTGTAATATTGAAGCCCTAAAAAAATTGCGCTTCAAAATAATCATGAAGTGCCTCAAAAAAAGTAAATATCTTTGAGCGACCGGTTTTACCATACTCATTTCCCCAATAAACCGTAGCGTTATAAAAATTAAAAACCGATAGAAAAACAAAAAATGAAATTTTGATTTCCAATCATAAATAGGCGATCGGCTTGTAAAGGTTATGGGATTACTGACTGACCTAAAGGTTTATACTTCTGATTGCAGCTTGAGCTAAATCCAGGATTTTGTTTCAGAATCTGAGGAAGTTTTACCGAGTCACTTTAAGACATGGATGGAACAACCAATATATATTTCTTATCCTCTTTTTTTTGTCAAGTAACTAGAGAATATGTTATCCTTTTCCGTCTTCATCCGAAGGGATTTTCCCTCGAAGTCTCAAGAGAATGCTCTCCTAACAAACACTTCAACCGTCAGTAATGGTTCAACCTTGTCCTTGCGGAGCCTGTCCGATTCGTTCTGGCGCTGGTTGACTAATTTGAGTGAAACCGTCGCATTTGGGGGTGCAAACACTGCAGTTAAAAAACAAACGCGAGTATGTACACAAAGCGAACCGCTGGAAGTTTGTGTTTTTCTGTTATCTACAATTTTACCAAAAAAAGCGGGAAATCCCCTGTTTATCAGGTTCTGCGTAATATATTATATTGAGATGTGTTCGATACAAACCCTGTTTTCGATCACTTGTCTACAAAAAACCCCATGCATGGATCAAAATGTCAAGAATACTGTCCTAGGAAATGACAAGGGAGGGGGAGGACACTTCCAAACCTTTGGGACGATTGCTTCGAGGTAAATCTAATCTCAACATTTCATATTTAAGCCGGTATCAGGATATTATGTAGGTTGATCTTCAAATCAAATGTCACGCAATATTAATCACAATTAACCTACTCTAGTTTCCTCGAATTAAGGATTAGGTAAAAATATTGCTTCTCATTTTGAACAGAAGGCTCTACTTAACTGTATCATCATGGAGGGTCGTTTTTCAAGCTAAAATGTCAAACAGTGTTAATGATTTACAGGCACTAAGAGTACCCGAATTGCCAAAGGTTAAGAACATCCACTTTATTTGCGATGAAGCAGCTTCAGTCGAACCTTAATATAAAGACCAGACAAGGGAGACACAAAACATGGCCTTTATAGGCAGGTATATACAGATGTCTTTTATTATTATTATACAATTAACAACTAAATTATTCACCCTTTGCGTAGTTTTATGAATAATTTGAGAAGAAGAGAGGACTCGCGGGTATTGGTTGCACAGGGAGACAGCAGACGCCGAATAGGCAAGGCCGTATACATTTTTTCTATATTTCATTTCCAGGAACACAACGGAGTATAACAATATCAAAGAATACAACAATTTAATGAAAAATGTAGAAAGACGGTGAAAAAGAAAAAACAAAACGAAAATGAAATATGCCATTTGGAGATGATAGGTAGGAAATAGGTTATTGAATAAAGGAGCAAAGTCCAGAGAATTGGTTGCGTGGGGAGAAAGTGGGAGAAAGAGCAAAACAGAAATAGGGGTTAAAAGAGGAAAAGAGAGAGAGAGAGAGAGAGAGAGAGAGAGAGAGAGAGAGAGAGAAATAGATGAAACGAGTGAGATAAAGAGAGAGATAAAGAGAGAGAGAGAGAGAGAGAGAGAGAGAGAGAGAGAGAGAGAGAGAGAGAGAGAAATAGATGAAACGAGTGAGATAAAGAGAGAGAGAGATAAAGAGAGAGAGAGAGAGAGAGAGAGAGAGAGAAATAGATGAAACGAGTGAGATAAAGAGAGAGAGAGATAAAGAGAGAGAGAGAGAGAGAGAGAGAGAGAAGGGGGGAGGGAAAGGAATTACAGAGGGTTATAGAAGGGGAATGGGGAAGTCTCCATATAATAATTATTCGGGGTTTGAAGAGTATGAAGACGCGAAAGCTAGAGTTACGGAAAAAATATGAATCATTTAGAAGAAATAGAGTACATGTATTCGAAAGGGTAATGATTGTTGGATGGGCGGCCTATACGCAGGTCCCTCGGAGAGGATCTGAAGCCATCGGCCGTCTGGTTGCTTACTTACAAGCATTTATGCTTTCTTAGCAGTCAGGTAAATAACCACCACCACCACCATTCATTTCGGGGTGGGTGCGGTATTCATGTATTGGCATGCTGTACGTGCAACATTTTTGTAAGATGTCAGACCTACACAATATATTCATATAAATATGCCTTGTTTCTCGTCTACAGGCCACGTCACTTTTTGTTTTATTTCCCACTCCCATCATCGTTCTTAAACATGTTAATTTTTTCTGTCAAAGTTTTTTCGTTTTCTAATCTTAAATTTGGAGTCTCGATTCCCGATGAAGATTGATCACTTTTGTCCGAGATTTGGATGCAATGTTTTTCAGTTCGGATTGCTTCTTTACTTTCCTCATTTTGTAGGTCAAATATTCAAACGTCCGTCTGGGATGTGTTCTTTTACTTTCACCTGCTCTTTCTTGGTTTATTCCTGCCTGCCTCTTCTCTCTCTTTATTTCTCTCCATCTCATCTGTCATCCTCTCCCTTTTCTCCCTCATTCTTTCTTTCTTTTTACCTTTTTTTCTTGTTCTCCCAATCTTTCATATTCTCTCTTTTTCTCTCCATTCTCATCTGTCCTTATCGCTCCTTCTCCCCACATTACATTCATTCTCCATTTCTCCCCCATCTTTCTCCTCTTTCTTTATTTCTCCCCATATTTCATTCTCCCTCTTTCATTCTTTCTTTCTGTCCATCTCATTTCAATTCCCACCTTCCCCTTTTCATTCCCATGCTTCATTCTCCCTTCTTACTCCTCTCACTCTCAATGTCTCTCTTTCTTTCTTTCCTTTTTCGTACAAACATGAAAGAGGAACTTCTTTTTTAAAAGACACAACACAAAAGAATTACGTGATCTACTACAAAATTAATGTGGCGTAACAGGAGAGAAACCCTGTGTAATATCTTTATTCGTAATGCTACATACAGCTTGCAAGGCAAGTGGAAGAGAGCGCACAAACAGCCTCATGCTAGAAATTTCATTTTCATTTCAAGACAAAAATAAAGATAGAATACGAGATATAACCACAGACAATACTGCCTGCATTCTTTGCTTCATCGTGCTACAATTCTTGAGCAGAAGCACATCTATAGATCATTTCAAGCGAAGTTATAACAATAAATTTACATTTTACAATGACATAAGATTTTACTTCAATCTCTAACGTTTTTCCTACGGGAAAATTTGAAGCATCTCGTGGAAGGGAGTAATAACAAAGCGACGAAAAAAAATGTATTGAATAGCTCGTCACAAGGTCCCCAGGAAAGAAACATCCATAAATTTGAATATGTTAGTTCACCAGTCTACTACAAAGCTAGAAACAGAAATAACTTGAATTGTGTGCATCACAAAATACCATTAAAAATGTAAATAATTTCCACAGGCAATGAAGAGAAATCTACTGCCAAAATACAATGTACAAACAACAATTTACAAATACAGTTTGTCTACTGACAGACAGACAGACAGACAGAAGAAGGTTAATTCTATGTTAAAGCCCTTTTTCTAGCTCTATTATATTCTTTTCTTAAACAGCTTCTTAATTTGGCTCACTACCTAGTTCCTAGTACGTACACGACAATGAACAGAATTCTTGGACGACTGCAAGACGACTAATCTTACAAAAGTTGGGAGAAAAAAGGCGTCATGACATTTCTGATACTAGCATAATGATATATTCCATATGATATTGCGTATGAATAAGGTGCTCTATGTGCATTAAAATGAAGGAGTAAGAATCTCAAACAAACCAACAAAAATCTTTCCAAAAAAAACCGAAAGAATGTCTGAGTTGTGAACGAAATAAATTATGACCACAAGAAAATTGTATCATCCACAAAAGAGAGTTGTAATATCACAAGTTGTATTTGTAATACACATACCTGTAAACATCTACAGACACAATAAAACAAAAAACAGGACACAATAAAACAAAAACAAGGCAAAATAAATTAAAAAACGGGGGGAAAAGGGCCATTGCACATTTTGAGATACACCCAATAAGTCAGATTCCCCCAATGCTTTATGAATAGACCTAAACTATTTTGTTCTGTTAAGAGCCAGGAGGGTGTTGTGTATGAGAATTATACGAGTTACTGCCTTTAAAGATACTATGTCCCTTTTGCAGCCAACATCAAATTCTGTAGAACATTCTAGGAATTATGAACATGTCATTTCCTATCTGTGAAATTTAAACGTTATCAGTGTCCTGGCATTCAAATTATTCAAGGAAACCTGTTAACTTTCTAGACTTCCCTGTCAGACACTATTGAGTGACTGACTGATATTTTTTTCTTTGGTAATAATAAACATAAAATGAGTTACAACAGGTATATGAGCATTTGTCTACATCAATGACCCACTACTTGTAATGGCCAAAACTTTTCATTTTTTGACCTGCAAATGGGACATAGTACCTTTAATGCTCTCAGAAGATAATATGTACACCCTACAGAAAGATGATCATGACTCCTGACTAAGGCTGAATCATATAAACCTTTTTCTCCTCTTCAAATTCTATTTTCAGTATGTGATACAAAATGTAAAGTGCAGTTTGCTTTAGTACATTTACAAAGCCCTGCGGTAAAATCGCAGCAGTTTAGTTTGATTAACATGCCAAATGTGAATGAGTCATATAAGTCCCCCCCCCCCCAATATGGGTGGGATGATGAAGAGATTAAGAAAAATCCACCGGTACATGTCCACCCCTAGGTCTCATTGGGAAGGATCGATTCATAAGGGGGCAGCAAGGAATAGCAGGGGAAAGTCTTTAATAGTGAACTAGTTTGTCTGGCGACTTCCAAAGTCACAATAACTAGCCTAGTTTGTGTTTCTGTGATGGAGTGCCCTATTGGCAGACTTAAACGATGATATTTTGTATCAATCGTCCAACGGCACGGAATATGATGTTACAAGGATCTTTTGATGGGTTTGGTTCAATCAGGGATTTCCCCCGTTTTGTTCAGGGAAATCTACTACGAGGCTAACCATCTGCTTGTAATTCATCTAACAATGCATCTAGCCCTTTGACTATACTGAATTCTCCCAACCTAGGCTTATATACACCTGGTTCAAGTAAGCATTGTGTTAATAAAGGAGGAATCCATAAATGTTCACGCACATATATGTACACGAAGCAAACTCTGCACACACATGCAAATATCATTGTCATTTTCCACCATTCCAGTCTTAAGCGTCGAAGTAATTACAGTATGTACAAAATCAAGGCTTTGCCTTTGGTAGCAGTCTTAAAACGCGAAAGGAAGACATAGCCAGTCGTACAAGAATGCACAACTTACTTGTGTGGACGTATATTTATAGTAACTAACGTCAGAGTTCACAAATGTTGCTAAAGGTAATGTCAACAGTACAGATTGACAGATCGGAAGAGAAAACGTAGAAGGAAAATGAAATAAAACTACAACCAAACAAAAAACTGTCCATTTCCCCTTTTAGACATTTTAGACATTAACAACACATTGTATCGCCTTAAGGGTGAAAACAAGATTATTGAGAGCTAGGGAACTATCCTCCTATTACTCCAAAGTACCCTCATATCCTATTTTCCTATTTTATTTCTAGGAAACAAAGTGTGAATCGTTTATTTATTATTCTTTAGGATTCTATGACTAACAGTTCATACATCACAGAAGAAATATTTTGAGTAATGAAATCTTATAGTAAAGACTAACAGGGAAGTAAATAAAATAAAATAAAACTAAACCCATAATGATGATTTTCTTTAAATTCCTTAGAAACCATAGAAGACATTTACAATACTTCTACTTCTACCGTTTGCCTTGAGTGTGAAAAAAGGGCAACACGAAGGCCAAGAAACTAGACCTTTCTTGCTTAAAACCAACCTTATATCAAGCACATTTTCAATGATCATTAACTCTTCTTGGCTTAGTCTCTTCTTATTCTTATATCATGAAAGAAAGAAAAAATATTAGAGAATATTGAGAGAAGTGTAATATCTTACAACAAAAACTTTGAACAAAATAAAAGAATCTCTTTGCTGCGGGTATACCCCTTTCAAATTTCACCTTGAGATGTAATAAAGGCATGAGATTTCAATGGTGGGAACTTATTGCACATGACCTTCCAATATCAAAGCCTCTAGCTCGCTCTGTGATTCTATCAGCGCTTGATTAATCAAGAATCTTCCTCCCTCCTTTCAAATAGCAATCAGCAGCCATCTTGGAATGAATGAAATGAAATCCTTGAGTTGACATTTAAAAAAAAAAAAGGTTCAGCTAGCATTTTTAGAAGACTGCCAAAGTTGAAACATTCCCTTATAAATGTAATAATACAAATAATAAAGATGAAGTCATGAAGCGCACAAAAACAGTCAAGAGTCTCCTGAATACCGGTAGTCACTAAATTTAGTCACTGGAAACATGCACAAATGAGTAATCCACACATTTTTATAATGAAATGAATAAGAGTATAAACCAATAAATAGAGACAATACTTTAAAAATAAAATATCTATTTACTGACAAACTTAAAATTGCTTTGTAAGGTAACATCAATGAGCATTACTTCAAAGACTCACCTCTCACATTGCTAAACTAAGTTTCATGCTACTTTGTGGCAAAGTGACAAAATACTGAGTAAAATCCTCATGAAAAAAAAAAGAAATGTAGTAAAAAATTGTTTTAATAACCTTTGAGTATAATACAAGCCCTGTGTATTCACCCCTATCATTCAATGTACATTGTTCCAAATTGATATGACATAATTTGACATCACTACTTATACTGATCAGCATATAAATATTTCATCTTTTTATCAAGGAAAATAAAAAGTGCAAGAAAAACGTCAACAAACATTAGACAATTCTAGATTTAGCTGCACATACATGCAAACTTAAATGAGATATGATAATCATTATTCTTATCTTTTGGATTCTCTGTTTTTCAGTTGCTTTTGAAGATCCTATAAAATCCTAGTCATCTTTTCCTTTTTTCGCGGGAGGGATTATGAGGCTTTATGTCTCAAAATAAGGTAAAATAAATTGGTGAGGCACAGTGTATGAAACCAAAACATAACAAAAGATAATTTACAATATAGTGCTTCAGATAGACTGAAACATTCCATTAATTCTTCAAAACTTTATCTCCATGTAAAGTACTATACATGTATGAAACCAAAACTCAACATGGCATTTATACCCAAAATCTATACAACAGTAACTACATAACGTGATTCAATTTAATACAAGACAACAGAAAACAAGACAAATTGTGTAATGTCTTTTAATACCACATTAGAAAAAAACTATAATATTTCAAACAGGAACTGCCTTAAAAGAATTTATTCCAAAGAATATTGATTACAGCACGAGAATACACTATGAACAATTAGTCAATGTCATTATCAAGATGAACCTACATTAACAGATTTAGACTGAATGATAAATAAGTTTGCAAAAAAATACATTATTTCAAATTCATCTCAAGGTTTATTCGACTCTTTGAAATGATCTTTATGAATGATGAGTTCTGTACAGGGCAAAAAAATGATGACAGACTTGAGAAAAAAAGTCACCTCTTGCCTTAGATATTTTAAATACTTTAAGACACAATATACTCAGAAATCTTTTTCTGAAAGAAAAGCAAATACATATACAAAGAAAATATTAAACACAACAGTACTAGTAGCATTTCAGAAGATAATAATAATAAAACGGCGCTTTCCACCAAAGTCTCTTAGTGCTAGATGATTATCTACCTCACCCATAGTCTATCAATATAGTTTTGTCACCTTTTTAATTTCCAAATATTCCATAGGAATTATAGAATACATTTCTTATGTGTTAGAGGAAAAAAGGGTGAAGGAAATTACAAACATAAAATATTTTATAGAATATGAATTTCTCCTCATGACATATCTTTCAATGATAGGTTTGTTGAATAAATATATATTTTTGATGGATTATCAGAAGTTAGGGGATAGAAATTCAGGAAAAAAATGTCTTTGGATATCACACACACACAAAAAATAGTTACAAGTGAATTTCAATTCACTGCAAAGGAAAAAATAAAGCAAAATAAATCATGACGTAACAACTGTAATAATAAATGACCCAATAAAAACTTGTGACACAAACAATCTCCTTGAAAGGTAAATCACATGAGAGATCACATACTCCAACAAGGAGAAGTGTAGACTTTGATCTAGCATGTGACGTAGGAGAGCAATTGAAGCATATGTTCATCGCAAATATTTGCTCTAGTACTTCCTCGTTCTATCTCTCTTGACGATAAGGAAAGCGGCTTGACTCTATCCCGATGCAGAGAGAGGAAAGGGAGGAAGGGCGGTGTTTCTTGGAGATTGCATCTTGTGACATTCATATCCATTGGGAGTGTTTCGCAAAGACTAAGATCGACTTTAAGTTGAACTTAACTATGACAGGCTGTTCATGCCACTGGTTGCTCTCACTATTGGTCTCTCTATTGTGAACTTTAGATAATAGTGTTCCTTCAATAATGACTATCAAAAGAGGTAAATTCTGTAGATTTGTGACCACGATTGGGACGTCCCTTGAGAAACCAATGCAGGAAATGATGAGAGAAAATAGTGGCATGAACGGCCTGCCATAGTTAAGTCCAACTTAAAGTCGATCTTAGTCTCTTGAGAAAAGTCCTGGCTTCTCAGCAATTTTTGTTGTTAGTGCTTGGTAAACACCACAGGAAAACTCCCCTGCAACATCTTGGAAAGGGAGGAGGGGGGCGGGGGAGGTGGTGGATAGGATGACTGGAGCATATTTGAAGATTGGAAGAAGATTTGAAAAAGTTATGCTTTATCCTTTTCTTTTGTATAGCTCCCTTGGAGTTCTCTTTCTCTGAAGTACCCCATGTTTGATATAAATCACCAAGAATGACATGGCAGCCATGTACAGATGAGAACCCTGTAATATTCATACTCCATCATGAACAAGAGACCAATGTTCACTCTCCTTAACTCTGTTCAATTGTTGGGCCAACTCCAAGACGTTTAAATACTTTTTGTTGCTGCTTTAATACATCTGAGATAAATCATCAAGATGTTCTTGAAGAGCAGAAATGAATGATCCTCTAGAAACTCCATTGTAAACAAGACACTGATGTTTCCTCTCTTTAACTCTGTTCAATTGTTGGGCAAACTCCCAAGCCGTTTAAATACTTTTTGTTGCTGCTTACATTTGAGATAAATCATCAAGATGTCCTTGAGGTAACAATTAATGATCCTCTAGAAACAGTCAATGACGTCCCCTGTCCATATGGGTCGCTGTGGCAACGATCACATGATTAGTTCATTGAAGACCTCTCCAGTCTTCTATAACATGCATTACCAATAGAGTTGAACTTGACAACTAACTCTCAGGCTTGCTTTCCAACTGATTAAATATTCTTATATTATCATCCTCTTGTACTCGCCTCCTTTATTTGGCAAAAATAAATAAAATCTCCAACTTGAAGTTTAAAAAAAAGCAGCTGTATGCAGTAGGATTGAGTATACCGTACTTCATGACATTATTTAATACTTAAGCTGCTCCAAGCTTTTCTTCCTACAAGCATGATTTTCTGATGAGATCTAATATGGTTGGTGTCTTTATAGACAGTTATCTCTGACTGTCATCTTGAATATAAGTTTATATTTAAATATATCAAATAAAAATATGTGGTATTCATGACGATGACCTCACCCTGTATTCATTTAGCCAATGACGATGATCGCTTGGCGGTCGGCACGACTTTGAAAAGCTTCTGCACCCTAAGCGTAAAGGAATCTGTGATGGTTCAAATAAAATTGTAAAAAGGTAAAGAAAACATGGTCATAATCAAAGAAAATAATAAAGTACAAACAGCTCATTCATTGAAGGCATTCGTGAACTGTACCGTTTTGAAAATAATGATCAACGTAGGATATAAACAAAATTGGAAATTAAATAGTTTTTCTGACAGCGTCTCTTAAATCTTAATAACCAAAAGGGCACTCAATAGACCCGTTTACAAACATATTCAAATTTCATGCATACTTTTTAAACAAAGGATGTTTGTGACAACCTCAAAAATTGCCTGAGGATTGTCTAACATAGTATACAAATAATGAATGGTTATGAGTTCAAAAGTGCGAATATTTTCATGAGTTGAAAGATTAACATTCTATTCAACGAGGTGTCAGCCGAGTTGAATAGAATTAACGTTAATCTTTCGACGAATGAAAATATTTGCACTATTGAACGAATGAAAAACATTAATTATTTGTTTTATACAACATCAAAGAAGATCTAATAGAAGGTTAATCAACAAATTATGCTTTACTCCTTATATTTATTAAAATTGGAGTCAAGCCTTCTCGATTACATACATTCAGATTGCCTTCGCGTCAGATACACACAGGGATAAGCGCACTGCAGAGAGGTACGCAGTCTGCATATAACCAAAAATGCATGCCCGTGCAATATAACATCTATTGAATATCATGTGACCAACAATCCTCCAATCAAATGACAAGGATCCACGTAGGTGTTGTATCATAACAAATAATGTATGCAGACTGGAGTTTTGTTGTTCGTTCATTGATAACCGGTTAATGGAATACCTCGTTTCTAGGTCCCCAGGAAAGAAACATCCATGAATTTGAATATGTTATTAAACCGGTCTATTGGACATACAAGCCAAGACAAAATTATTTGTTATTGCTGCATTTAAAGACTTTCAAATTTATTCATGTTTCAAATTTTAAGATAAAGTTGAGTTCTGGTCATGCGATTGCATTGTGAAAGAAACGGTGTGGAATCGATCAGAAAAGGTTGATCATCTAGCGTATACATGTAAGTATTGGTGTGTACTGCAAGGTTCTGGAATCATCAAAATGATAAGAAATTTGGCCCAGTCTTGGTAAAGTTACAAGCACTGCACACAGAAAGATGTATATGGGACTACGCGATATCTATCCAGGCTGGATAGATGTAATAATTTACCAAATATATCAATAAGTAGACAGTTTCCCGGCATAATTTGAATCATCACGTATTAGTCAAAATATATTCTTTCACATGAGGGGGGCATTTCCAAAACTGGTCTATACCTTTAATGTGTCATATAAATACATTTATATCAAAAGCCCAATAGGGCTGTAAAATCAACACTTTTTCAGTTCCTTGTTTCTATTTACTATGTACTCTCGCAAATACATGTCCTGTGTTTAAATGTAAACAAGAAAACATCATTATGTTCTTCCTTGTAATATAAATATAGATATGAGAGTATGAGACAGTATCAGTAATATATTCATAAACACACAGCCAATAATAAATGTCAACTAATACAAAACAGCATCCTGAATGCCATCGATCCTTAACTGATATCTTATCGCAACCGAAAACTTGCTGCAAATGCGAAACCTGAACGAAACCACGCACTGCCTAGGGAATCCCCCTGCTACGACTACAAGGTATTTTGTCTAGAATTTCTAAACATTCTTTTATTTCCTTCTTCGTTTCTTCTCCTCATCACCACAATGAGGAAGGGGTGAACAACAAAAAGCCAAAGGATATTGTTTCATAGAATCCAAATGTGGATTTGATTTTAAACAATCTTTTGAAAGATGCTGCTATCCAGTTCTGTATGAATGCCACATGAGCATTTAAGTGACTCTGTAACATTGTTGATTTAAAAATTGCATAATTTTTGTATGAAATTTTATTCCTTCTACTGTACTAACCCTCTAACATGCAAAAAATCCTTAAATTATTCTCAAACCACAAAGATACTAATGGTTTTCTATGAAGGTGTCACTGTCACACCCTCTAACAGTAATTAACAGTAAATTCTCCCAACCAATTTTGAATTTTCCCTACCGTTTTTCCATGAATATAAGATAAAAGACAGGCTTTTAAAAATACATCAACACTTATATGTCTGGAATGGTATAAAGAGCCAATTCATTGCTTTGTGACGATTTACATTCACCCAAAATGTATTTAAATCGTTATAACATAGTTGGGAGAATTAAGGAATCAATCAGATCAGTTTTTCCCAATTTTTATCGTTAATAATGGTCTGTTTTCACTCTCAAACTCTCAGATTATCTGTAATTTTACATCTAGCATTGAAGTCACTACCTTAGCACCATTTTCTCTCTTTACAATGTTATCAAATCAATCCCTTTCAGTACTGCTATGTAATTACAATCTCAGCTTTTAAAAAAAGTCCATCAAAGTATATCTATTAATGATTTTATGGTCTGGCATGAAATGCTTTCTACACCTGTCTAATATATAAGAGTTTAAATAAACAAATAATTCTTGGAAAAAAAATGTGACAATGAATGTGGTCACACAAGTTCTGTATTGGCTCCTAGCCATACACTTTTCCATGAATGTTTTACACAACAGTCATTTGTATATTATAAATGTTGGATAACAAGTGGTCATCAATACCTCCATCCTTCCGTGATTGTTTCCTTGAAATGTCAAATATTCTGGTCATTTATATCTTTACTAGTTCTGTTTTAACTGTATGCTTACAATGATTATTCTGAAATGGACAAAAAAGGGAAATCCCTCCTAAGAGGGAGAACAAAAAATGAAAGCTTCCTTGTCCAGAAACCCATTGGCAGAGGGGTCTCTCTTTTAAAGGTAAAGACCAGTATTGGAAACGCCCCAATTTCAAAAAATGAAATGGAAGCTCTTATTTCCAATCATGTGAAGAATATGTTTATAATATTACATGATACAAATTTTGACGGGAAACCGCCTACTAATTGATATATTTGGTAAATTAGTGTATCTCTCGCCTGTTGAGAGATATGAAATGCATGTGTCGCGCACGTGTGTGTAGTCCCATATACATCTTTCTGTGTAAAGTGCTTCTAACTTTATGAAGACTTAGCCAAATTTCTTATCATTTTGATGATTCCAGAACCTTGCAGTACATCTATGCTAGATGATCAACCTTTTCTGATCGATTTCACAACGTTTCTTTCACAATGCAATCGCATGACCATAACTGGTCTTTAGCTTTAAAGCCCCACTGCACTACTTATAGCTACTTGCGCCCTCTATATAGCAAACAATGCCTAAGTGGTGATCATTGATCCCCCATGATCCTCTTTTTCTTATGTTAATTGAGAGCCAATTTGATGAGATAACCGCCTGTCAGTGACCATGCAGGGAGGTCTAATCCCTCCTGACCAAACTAGTGCAGTGGGGCTTTAAAGGAATCACACTAAGAAGCAAAAGTGTTTTGAATTGATGCAAAATTCATATCATTGTGAAGGGGAAGCCTTACTGATCAAAAACAACAACTTCCCTCTTCAAAATATGTTTGGGGCCCACAGTAATCAACTCTCAAAAATGTTAGTTTTGAGATCCAGATTTTCTCCCTTCAGCGGTCCTTTGTAGAGCGTCAATATTTGTGACGTCACACACGGGACATGGCTGGCTAGCTGCATACTGCTACACGGCACTGAGCTGTTCGTCCAGTGTGTGACGTCACAATTCAGAGCTCGCTACGCTTGTGTGTTTCACTTACATTCAGGGGCGTTCGGGGGTCTAAGGAGGGTCTTGAAAAATTGCATTTTACGCCTTTCCATGATATCTATATGATTTCTCAGCAAATTGTTTGTGTTTTTCAAGAGAAAATCTTTCCATCAATATGTAATTTGTTCTAATTATGAGTTGTTAGTGAATTTTCTTTGTGTAGCTCCTTTAAAGAGAAGGTTGAGTTCTAGTGAAGGTGAAAAATAATTATTGAGACTTTAATTCTTGTTTTATAACTATGAGAAAAAAAATACCATAGTAGCAATGTCACATGAATGACATTGCTCTTGTAATGCCCTCATATTCGAAATAGGACATGAAAAAGCTTAAAACTTTGGACCAAATGTTCATGTCAGGTGTCTGCGTGGGCCCAACTACCAACTTCTTTACGCAGTGGTTTTAATTCTTACATGATTTTCAGCAAGTTTGAGTCGACTGCTTGGCATTCTAATGATCCCAAAACAGTCAATATATGATTGTTCTTATGTACCGGTACTACATAAAAATAATATGAACACTTACATAACCAACCTTTCCCAATTACTTTTATGTATAGACAGTTTCTTTTGCAGAGTGACTGCATAACCGAAACCCCACTTTATCTTTGAAGTTGTCACATTCAGTGATATCCATGCTTTAAAACCATTCGATGGAAGGCTCATACTTGACCACTAAACTCTGTTGAGCAATTGGAGTTGGTAAAAGTAAAGTACACAACTCATCATCTTAATTTTTTTTTTGAGCGAGGTTTGGTTCAATGCTATATTAAAAGATGACATCATCCCTGTAAGTATGTAAGGGATGACTCCTCTTTGCCAAGACTCAGTTCTGAACAAGGAAGTAAAAGAATAATCCGACCAACCAAGATAAAAATAGAAGACTTCATTATCAACTTACCCATAAACTTAGGCGAGTATTTGTACTTGATGAAAGGAAAGTAGAAAATCAACCCGGCCACAATAAAGAGGAAGGCGTAGAGGAACTCTATCAAAGGCTCATTGATGATTGGTGCAACTACAAGGTAAACAGAGGCTACGACGAAGATGATAGGGCATATAATGGGTACCTGGAACAAAGGAAGAAATCAAAGCACAATCAGTTTATATCTATTTAAATCTTTCAAATTAAATATTGAGAAATTTGGCAATGATGAAATATACAGAATTCAAAAGGTGCAAGAAAGAGTAAGGAATAAAAAGTATATACCTCTTCCTTTCTAGTTATTTTTTAATTTTTTATTAATTTGTTAATTTATTTATTTGCCGGTATCTATCTATTTATTTTATTTTATTGTGTATCTATTCTTTTTGGTGGGGGATATGTAATCATTATCTTGATTATTCTGTCACACTTGAACTTGTGTATAAATTTGCCTAGAATTATTTAAGCCATGGTTATACTGTATATCTTCTCATAAACAAACTGCACTGTAGAATCTAGATGTATTCAGGATAAGAAGACAATGGACCATGCACAAAGAGCTCCCTCTGTGGCAAGGAACAGTACAGCATTGAACCAACTAAAACCCAAGTGCTACCACGTAAGGAAAATAGTTCTAAGTAATAAGAAAGTTGTGTAGAAAATAGAGTTCAATGCCCTCTGTTGGTGAATGTGAGTGTAGTTTTTGTCCACAACTCGGAGCTTCACATTGAAGGATTTTAATCATGTATTTGAAAACAGTTTGCTCTGTCCTAATCACTCATATATTCCAATTCTCCATCACAAAATATGTAAGCAATGTAAAAATTGTTAAATCTTCAGTCTGTCCACAGAAAAACAATCAATTCGGCTAGATAGTTGATGGACACCAAAGTGCTCAGTGAAAGAAGTTGTTTAACGTTTTAGATTATAAGCACTTCCTGTTTTCATGTTCACAACAATGTGATAGTCAGCAAATGGAACTTTACCATGTTTCTTTATATCTGGGTTTTAATACCGCCAGTAAATCAAGCAAGTGACTTCAACTAAGGGAAAGTTATTTTGTTTGTTTCACAATGTCAATTACACCCTCATTCATCCTCTAATTCCAAATGAGAAAGAGAAAATCCTGAATCTTTCCATAAAGGAGATTTTTTTTACCTCCAATTGCACAAGGCAGATACCATAGCATAGTCGAGGAACATTTCATTTTGTTCATTTGCACGTAACTGTCCATTTCTAAAAATAAAACTTTTAAAGCCACACTGTCCTACTTGTAGCTACTTGCTCCCTCTATATAGAAAACTTCTCCAATCGGTGCCTGTTGGTCCCCCATAATCCTCTTTTTCTTATGTTAACTGAGAGCTGAGTTAATGAGATAGCCACCTGTCAGTGACCTCACTGTGTGGTCTAATCCCTTCTGGCTGAACTAGTACAGCCGGCCTTTAAGGCTTTGTGTGTCAAATAAAGTTTAGTTAATGCTTGGACCGGATACCACTAAAGTCCTGAATCTTACCTTAAAGGGTCTCTTTAAATCGGGGTATTTATATCTCCAGTAGAGTAAGCCTGTGACTGTAGCGCAGTAGAAGAACCACGTAGCAAAACTGAAGTAGTTGATCAGCGTATCAAAGTCACCGGGGATCAACATTAAAACTGCAATGGTGCTCTGCGAAAAAGAAAGAAAAAAAGGAAGAAAAGTTAACAAAACTGTTATGTTCATGGTCAATAGTCATGGTATGGTGGTTCGTTCACTTGACTCTCAATGCTAGGGCTGAGGGTTCAAATCCCAGCCCGGTATTACTGTCCTTTGGCAAGACATTAATCCACATTTGCCACTCTCTACCCAGGTGTTCATGGGTGCTTCGCAATTGCTTGGGTAATAATAATGGCAGGAGGGTCAAAAAGAGTAGCATTGATGCTGATTATGCTTCCTTTTGTAAACCAAATTATTATTATAATGAATACTGCAATGGTGCTCTGAAAAAAAGAGTTAAAAATTGTTTGAGAAATTGTTTTATGTGTGACTGCAATGGTACTCTACAAAATAAGGAACAACAATATTTTACAATTGATTTTAATATAGTTTTATACTGAAACGTGTTATCCTAAACTGAATTGAGAACAGTCTACATTCTATTCTGACTTTGCCTTTTAAGAGAAAGTTTCAGAGGGGGAGAGCTCAATTTCGTAAGACCAATTGGCACTGGTTTAAAACAGTGTATAAAATCTATTATTTTCCCTGTATTTTAAAACATGTGCGATATGTTAATTTACATTAAATTTGGGCCAGACATGTGACCTTGCAACAAATGGTTTGATAGTGCAAACTGGAAGTTATACTGCCAGTGGAAAGAGAAAATGTCACGACAGGCTGATTTATCGAGTGCCAGGTGTTGTCCTTTTAATCCAGCACAAATTCTGTAACCATAACTGCATCTAAATATTGGAATAGGCTACCTTTAATACTCAGACAATCACCGTCTGTCTCTTCATTCTAAAAGTGACTTAAACCTTTTTTTTTTGTACGGTAATCCAGATTTTTAGGATCCTGTAAGTTTTCATTTTCATTTTTTGTAGGATTCTTCTTGTTGTAAGCGCTTTGGGCCGCTCTGGGAAATGCGGAGTATATAAATAATAATAATAATAAATGAGTAAACAAAAAATTATGCTATTGTGGAATAGATTGCTAAGTTTCATTTTTTTGTAAACCTATTTGGTTGTCTGATGGCATGCCTACTTAATGTATTATCAAAAAAAAATAATTTAGAATTAGAAATGAATTCTCGCTACTGCAACCACGGTGATTGGCCGTAGAGGGCAGCACCAGCCGGTGGTATATATTTGGCACATTTGGTTTCCATACAAGGACAATGGGTCGAAAACTGGAAGGTCCGATAGAAATTATAGTTTTTGAACCCATAAACCATAAGGAAACCTGAACAATTTAGTTTAGTAAAGTAAGGGATTAGTTGACAATACTGCTGTACATTCTCTATGGAAGCCGGAAGAAACCTCGTCAAATCGTCTGCGCATGTGCTGATCTTCGCAGGGTGGGAAATAGGTCGCCATGTCTACTGTCGAATATCGTATTTGCGAAGGGAAGAAATTATTTAAACAATTTCGGGGGCTACTTTTCAGGCTTGATTGCATGAAAATAACACTCTTTAATTTTTTTGTATTGGGGGGGCTTTTTTATGACTTTCGGTGGCTCTTCTTGGCATTTCGGGGGCTAAGTTGCCCCGAGCCCCAATGTATTTTTTCTCTGTGTATTTGCAGTAGGGTCAATTGCGGATTATTTGATTCTACTTACGGTGGTGATGAGTGAGATGCATGGTGTGTACTTGTTCATGTGAATGAAGGACATCACTTGAGGAAGATGGCCCTCTTTACCAGCTGCATACGGTAACCTGATACAGACACAAGAGAGAGGAAGTGTTATAAATACCGTTAGTAAAATGCACAATTTGATTTCGATTTCCAATCATAAATATCTTGATAATCAGACAGGCGATCGATCGGCTTGTAAAAATCATGGTGTTCCTAACTGACCTTAAGGTTTATAATTATCATTGCAACGTGAGCTAAATCCAAGATTTTGTTTCAGAATCTGAGACAAAGTTAATCAATCCCTTTAAGTCTGTTACTGGTAGACATTTAAAGGGGAAGTCCACCCTGATATCAAGTTTGTTTTAATAGAAGCAGGAAAATGGGAGAAAAGGTCAGTGAAAATTTAAGCAAAAACTGATTGAAAATAAAAAAAAATTATGAATTTTTGGAGTTGCAATCAAACATATTGGCAATTCTGTGAATTATCTTGCTAGCTTGCCCTCCCATTTGCCCTGTACTAAAACTTCAAAAATCTATATTGTCCCTTTAGAAAATGTTTCATCATACATTCACTCGAAATATAATTATTGCAAATGTGTTTTTATACAGACCCCGTATGAAACATATCTATTCAGTCACCAATAACTAAGAAAAATGAAAGTTTATGAAAGTTTCTGTATAGAGCAAATTGGAGAGGACCATGCATGATACTTCACAGGGTTGCCAATTTGCTTTCCAATGATGAAAACTTAAAATTCATAACTTTCCTATTTTTAATTAGAATTTGCTCAAACTTTCACAAATTTTTACCTGCTTTTATTGAAACCAATTTAATATAAGGATGGACTTTCCCTTTAATAATTCTACAGCTGTGTAGGGGCATACAGATGTTACTTTAAAAAAAAAAATGTTTCTCAGGAACACATTTAATGAACTCCATGTAAAACAAACCTCATTCAAGAGTGCAGTGAGTCAATAAAGTGCACAAGAGAATGAAAAAGGTGAAATCCTTTGGTTTTGAAGCAATTACATGTTGACTTTAGTACACCGTCTTCAGTCAGAACTTGATAGATAATCATTAATCAATTTGATTGTTTATTTTGGTTGTAACATAGCTGGAGACAGCTCCATAACAATGGAAGCATGAGAGATAGCACTAACAGATAAATGTGAATTCAATTTCAAGCTTTCATGGAAAATTTCATCTCTCATGTAATTCCCATAATCCTCTCCGCAAAACAGTGGATAATGTTTTCCCCACACAGCTGGAGGTTTGGTGGTTATGCTGGTACAAGATTATTGAATCAATTACTTAAGCTGTTTGGCTGCTATCGAATGTTAAGAATCAACTGGGAGACAAAGTGCTTGCCAATTATGACTGAACATCATGAATGGTCTCATGGGTTACAGGGCCAAGGTATTCATCTTCCAGACAATAATTTACTAATATCTGAAACAATGTATTTGCCATCTATGTCTGCATTATATGAAAACTGAATCAGACAAAAAGGCCAAGGTATAATTCAAGGCATAAGTCTAGACCTTCACCCCCTAAAAAAAATGGAAAAAAATGAAATGTTTACATAGAGCCCGTGCTCAAGCATACAGATTCAATCAGGTTCAATCAGGCAAAAAGTTAGCATGGAGCCCTATATAAATCTGTAAAATATATTCGTTAAGGTTCATCGCCTTGACATCCTTTCCAATTGACTGTATGCTGCAACCTTGCTGGCTGCCAGTCACATACAACTCGCTCAATAAAAATCACATCCTGTTAATGCCTCTCCATGATTACATACAGATTAATTTTTATAGCACATTAAGGGAAGGCATAAAAGGTATATTACTTTTTATTTTATTTTTTATGTTGGAGCATCACAAGCCTCAACACACAACAGACATGTGTGCTATATAATGCGCCACTATCAGCTTTTATTAGTATCATAAAATAGTTGCCAATGTCTTGACTTTTATGTCAACGTCCAACTAATAAAACCAGGTTCAAACATCTGTCAAGTACATGAAATTTTATATTCTGCAAACAATATCTATATTACTAAAGCTACAGAAAACCCATAGAGATATAAATCTTTTATCGCCCAATCTGGTGATTCATTTATGGTTTGGTTTACAAAAAAAGGTGTAGTAAAGATGTGCAGACTTTGAATGAAACCGTTTAGAATGGCATGTCAAATGGAAATGAAAAGTTATTCAAAAGTCTCTGTATGGTTTTCATGATTGAAAGCTTTCATTAAGCTTGCCCAACACAGCAGCAACCAATAGACACAACTGCAGTCAGACTTTTGAACAAATTTGATTCCTATCTCTTTTAAGACCATAGCAGACTGTAGACAATACTTAGCATTGAGGGGAAAAAATTTGTATCGCTAATTTTAACATTATTTAAACATAGTTGTGGCTTACACCCAGTAAATAAGATTGATTGATTGATCTGTAATTGAAAAACAATTTTTTTTAAAAGTTGACATGTTAGGCACATTTTTACAGCACTTTAAACATACATTCTCAAAGGCCGTCAGTACTAGTTTGGCTAGGAGGGATTAGACCACCAAGGAAGGTCACTGACAGGTGGCTATCTCATCAACTCAGCTCTCAATTAACATAAGAGAAAGAGGATCATGGGGGACCAATGGTCACCGATTAGGCATTGTTTTCTATATAGAGGGAGCAAGTAGCTACAAGTAGTATAGTGGGCCTTTAAATACATTTAACATAAAACATTTGTGCCAATTTGACAAGCGTACCTTCCTGATGCAAATAGATTGCCGTTGGCAGAGCCGAACGTAGAGAAGCACACAAAGATGGGGATGATGAAGGCCATGGGTCCAAGCGTACGCTCAGCGAAGGTCTGCAACAATACAAGAATTCAATCCAATTGTATATAATTTAAAAAACAGAAAAAAGTACACATAAACAATATACAACAAAGGCGTAGATAAACAATACAGAATAGACAAAAAGGTATGTAACTACAGCTGAACATGCGAGGGTCATTTTCAAAGTCCTGTAGGTTAATATCCCTTTCAAATATAAACATCTATGTCATTTCAGCCTGTTAAAGTGAAGAATTCTTGAAATTATAAAAAATGAAATGAATATTTTTTTCCCATTCAGGTGTCTTTTTCATAAATGAGCAGATCCAATCTATTTTGTTCCTTGAATTACTGACCACATCAAAGACCAAAGGCTTATTCAGATATGGCACAATAAACTGCCGCAAAAAAGCTGACATATTTTTTAAACATGTAAATGAAAGGCAACTATGCGCAACAAAGGACTTGTGCATTTTTGTTGAGCTCTGTGTCATAAGATACAGAAAGTTGAAGCGTATTGAAATTTAAGTAAAAAAACAACAAAAAAACGCTACAGTTTTGCCACTTCATATCTGAATGAGCCTTGAAGCATGTTTGATAGTTGTATTAATTCACCAAATATCAAATATATGTTTATAATACCATAATACTAACTAATACCAAGTAACATATGTTGATAAGCAGCTGGGCATTGTTTCACCAAACCATCCTAAGTACAAGTTCACCGACATCCCATTGAAATACATGTTAAATTTAATGCACGCATTTCGATGGGTTGTCGGCGAACTTGTACTTCTGACAGTTTGTGAAAGGCTGCCCTGGACTGAATTTGGTTTGGCAGTGTGAGGGAGGTATCATCAAACAACATCGACTGAACATAGCCGGAGACTCACCACTGCTACTGCATTGGAGCTGAGTAGCTCTTGAGGCGACATCACGGTGAAGTAAGAAACGTTGACGAGGAGGTAGAAGAGGGCTACGAGCGGTATACCGATGCCAATAGCGAGGGGCAGGTTTCTAGAAAAATTGATTAAATGAGACACACATATTTCTATTAGGAACTTGTTGTGCACAGACAGACAGATTTATCTAATCATTCTTTTCTACCTTATAAGACTCTACTGATATCTTATAATACTCAGTTTTTATATAGCGCTTATTATAATTACTAAGCGCTTCCAAACTTGGAGATTATTACCCCGGCTTTAGCTGTGCTTCCATTACGGCGCTCTAGCATTTAAAAGAATTAATTTCTGCCAGGTACCCATTCACATTACCTCGGTTGAGTGTGGCAAATGTAGATCAATGTCTTGCCAAAGGACATTAGTGCCATGGCGGGTCTCGAACCGCAAACCTTGTGATTGACAGTTATATAATATAATATAATATAATATGAAGTTTGAGGAAAAGGCTTCATGATGTAAGGACAAGTAGAGAAAGTACACACCTCGTTGGGTTGACTAGCTCCTCCGATACAAAGTTGAGATGATTCCTGTAAAGAGATGAGATGAGATGAGAAAATTGTACTGTAAGAAATCAGTTCTTGTTCCAATGCTAGTTGTTATAAGTGATCAGTTTAACAGTATACTATTGCTAACCTAATGAGCAACCTCAATTATTCAAAATAAAATCAGGCTAATGGTGATTTAAGAGTCTCTTCTACATCGTGTCCTCTCCTTTGTTTATACTTACATTGTCTCTTTCTTTTAAAACAAAATGTTTGAGAAACAAAAATATTGTTGCAACTCTAGCACTGAATTATCTCCTCAATATCACAACTGTTATTTTTTGTATGCATCTACATGTATTGCAGGACAGATTAAACAATTTTCTTATCTTATATACAGACACAATGCACTTCTGGCCCTCAGGGGTGTCCCTCAGGGGTGTCTTTTTTTCTCTTGTTTTACTTTCGGATTTGTTTTTGTTGCTACTGCTTATGTTCTTACCAGCTTTCGTAGGCCCATAGGCCCTGGTAGAAGGCTATGCCATATGAGAAGGCTTTGGGTGACGATCCTATGAATGCTGTGTTTGCTGCTAAATACCCTGTTTCTCCTGTTAGTGACAAAATAAGAGAGAGAGAAAGAGAAAGAGAAAGAGAGAGAGAGAGAAAGAGAAAGAGAAAGAGAGAGAGAGAGAGAGAGAGAGAAAGAGAAAATTCTTGTTAATTGTTCAATCTATAATTAAGAAAGGAACATCAAAAGTAACAATCGTACATTATAATACTTTGAAAAAGAGAGACAGACAGACAAACAGTCAGGAGTAAAGAAGAACAAAAAATCCTAGCAATTGCTCTCAGACAGGAAATAACTATACAACTTTTTAAATTTTTGTTTGTAATCAAATCATTCTGTAATTACAAATACGAGTAGTCACACTTCTTTCCTTCTCTCTCTACTGTTGTTTGGGGGACATGGTACATGTATGTACAGTGTATGATGAATGGGTGATAATTGTCTTTAAATTCTATTAGGATGTCTCCATTAAATGTAATAGTACACACCCTGCTTGGGTCATGTGTATCATCACCATGAAATAGAGGTAGCAGTGAAATCCCAATATCACTTTCAAACATGAAAATCAATTTCAAAGTAGTGCATTTGCACAGGTGCAGTCATTTAAACAAAATTTGTGATGAATTAGCAAATCCTTTCAGTGGTCTTCATTTCTAACAAAACTAAATTTTGTGGGAAGAAAAAACGAGGATGGGGAAACCATGGTTCCCTTTTGAAATTCTACAGAATAAGGAACAGCTTAACATGCTCTCTGGAGGTGGGGGGGGGGGGGGGGGGAGATGGGGAAGAGAAGTTACATTTCATGACAGAGAGATCAGCAATTCTACTACAATATAGGGCCTTGAATGAATGGAATCTGATGAGTGATATATAAAGTGAAGTAAACTATCTAGTACTACAGGGAAAAAAGCAACCAATGACTTAGCAACCTCCTTTACCATCATAGCTCTAAAGATATATGTGCACGTGCAATATTACGAAAAAAGCAGCAGATAACATTACATGTAGCTAATGCATACTATATGAAACATATCTAACATATCACACATGAATATAGTAAATTAGGTGTGCATACATGTATATACTAAATAAATATGATTTGTATTACAATACTAATCATAATACTAAATCAATCTGATTTTGTATAACAATAATACCAGGAATCATAAAATAGTGGTAAAAACCAGACAGTGAATAAACTTGCAATACATGTACATGCCAATACTATCCCTAGACTAGTAGAGTGATATAATCCAAATTTCTGCTAAGGAAACAAAAGGCACCAGTATCAAGAAAAGGATAGAAAAATGTAGGAAGGATCCCTTATACCAAAAGAAGAAAAAAAAACCTTCCAAACTTAAAACTCGAACTTACCAGTGCGATACAGTTCTAATGTGTGAAATCATGAATGAAATATGAATTATAATAAAACCTTGACTGAATCTTAAATTATGTAAAACAGTATTAATTCAACTTATATTATACATTTAAATTAAAACAAGAATGCATGAGTGCTGTTCTGATTATAATCATGCTGTGTAATGCAATATGCCAATAAAATAGTAAATAAAATATTTCTGATAAAAAAAAGAAAGAAACTGAAACTGAAATTATGATAAACTTAAACTCTTGAATTCTCAGGAGAAAAAAATGAAATATGAATTATAATCAAGCTTGACTGAATCTTGACTTATGTGAAATGGAATAACTTCAAACTAATATTACACATTCAAATTAAACAAATGAATGCATGAGTGCTGTTCTGATTATGATCATGCTATGTGTAATATGCCAATAAAATGGTAAATAAAATATTTCTGATAAAAAACAAAAACAAAACAGAAACTGAAACAATGATAAACTTAAACTCTTAAAATCTCTGGAGAGAAAAAATGAAATATGAATTATAATCAACCTTGACTGAATCTTGACTTATGTGAAATGAAATATAACTTTAACTAATATTACACATTTAAATCAAAACAAGAATGCATGAGTGCTGTTCTTATTATGATCATTCTACTTGTAAAATGCCAGTGCTAGTAGTCAGAATAAAATGGTAATATTTCTGATGAAAAAAGGAACAATACAACTGAAATGATGACAAACTTATAATGTGGATATTTCTGGGGAAAAAAAAAGAACTATACAGTGTAGGAATGGCTTCCAAATGCATTATATCCTACTTTATCTTAAAAAACCACAACATGAAAATCTCTCATGAAAAAGAACAAGAAAAATTACAATGAAGTTCTAATGAAACCTGAAAAACTACACTGTTTTTGCTACAGACTTGAGACAGCTGGTTGCAGACTCTTGACCTTTCACATGTATTTTCAATAATGATTGCGTCCTTTGAATCATTTGATTTATTACACATGTATGTACACATGTATGAATGTGTGTAAATCCAACCACTCCTCCCTTACTTAGTTGACATTTATCTCATCATGCAAATGGCAAGTCATGTAAACAATCCTTTACTCTTTTTTTTGTTAAGAAACAGGTTTGAATCAATCACCTTTCCATTTGATGAATGAGAAATGTAAACAAGCAACACCTGAATATTCACTGATGTTTCATACTTTTCTATTACCGGAAGAAAAAAAATTCTACTCCACAAATATGCATTTTTTTAAATTTTCGCACAGGTACATAAATGCCAAATGGTTGATGAAACTTTTGATAAACAAATTTTTTCTATCCTGTACTGTTTACCTTCATGTCTAGTATGATCCATGTGTATGGTTGTAAACTACTGTTAGGTAGCCACACAGTAGGACTACAATTTAAACATTGCATCATATTCTGAACATGTTTGCTATCTCATGTGTATTCTTTCATGACGTATGGGCAAATCATGGGAACCTCTTTTGATGAAAATCACAATATTGTTGGTAGTTTTAGAAGGGTTACTGGCTAGTTTAAGCGTGCAGTGAGTGTTACTCTTTGAATTGAATAAATTATTCGAAAAAATTGATTGCATGAGATCAGTGTTGCTAAGAGCTGCCAAATGCTGTATTTCATTATCATTTTAATGACAAGTGAGTTAATTAGTCTGCGTGGCTTGTCTCTCTACACTGTACATGATCCTAGCCCTTTTGTAGAATTGACCAATTTCTTCCCAAATATAGTAAACTCTGCAAAATGACCGTTTTAATATCAAACAAATTTGTTGTCCTGGGTGAACAAAGATCATTATATTATCACTATAAAGGACAAAATAATTAGCTTTAAGACAATGTCTCTTGTACAGTATATTTGCAAACATTGTGTCTCTTGGAGCATACAAAAGATAAACAGGATAAAGTAAGATCACTCTCCCTATACACACAGCATACTTCCTGGCACTAGCTACCAATACACAATCCTAAAAAGGTTTCACGACAGAGACTAGGAAGTCAACCAATGCGGACCAGACTTCTTAATGATTTCATCATCTTCCAAACTTGGCAATACACAGCCAACCAGCCATCCATATCTCCACACGATACAAAGACGCATGTGCTTGCATCAGCCACTGTCTGGCTTGCTGGCTGGCAGCCAGGCAGTGCAGGCACAGTCAAGAGAGTCAAGGGACATGGTTTACGGGCAGATGTACAAGTATGTAAAAGGTCACAGGCCTTTATTAATAGATTCCCGTGTTTACTAATGCTTGAATCAATTTTTTTGCAAAGGTGGTTTGTATATTATGGTGACCCATATGGGAAGTTTTGGTAATGTTAAAAATTTAAATGAATGCTACAAAAATGTTGTAATTTACATATGACTTGTATACATTGTAGGTCTGTATTGATTTCTTAAAAAGGATGAATAAAAAAAAGATTTGAGATATCTGAATTCAAAGCTGTGGATTTTAATATGCTTCTTAAAAAAATGTAGAAATGCATATATAGCGAGGAATGTTAAATTAATTCCTTTTTTGTACCGGTATATGATGAGTGTCTCCACACTTGTTCCAAACCTTTCAATATGCGACAAATTAGTACTGTAAATTTTGTAATCATTTGTTTATTAAAATGGATCAATTCTGTTAAAAATTCCATTAGGTGACAATTGTACAAGGAAAATTTGTAATCATTTGTTTATAAAAGGATCAATTATGTTGATAAACTTATGAAGGCCAGTTGACAATGAGGAAGTTGAGGAACAGTCTAAATTGTCATCTTTTTAGTGTCTTATTACAAACAAATCCTCATGTAGTATGAACAGTACTACATACAAAACAATGGCAAATATGCAGCATACATGCACATGTTGGAATGACATTGTTGAGGCACCAGCAGTGGGGGGCTTTGTGTTATGTCCATGATACAATGCACCTTACGATCATGGCTGAATACATCATACATTGAGCAATGAATGGAGTATGGACCAACCTCAACTTATGAAGTTGTGTTGAACATGCGAAAGTGCCATTCAACTAAACATTAAAGGATTGTAATTTCAAATCAATCCATTTTACCATTTATTGAATTACTGTACATTGGTTAACGTGATGAATATTACACAAATACAGGGTTTCAGTGCAGTGCATGTATTGTAAACACATATAGTCGTAGAAATGACTTCTGTAAAGTACTGTAATACTCTTTTCACACTGGTTTTGCTTAACCCCGTACTTTGCTTAGCCCCGTACTATCCTTAACCCCGGACTATTTTTTTGGCTTTTCACACTCGCTGTTTTTAGTCCCGTATTAGCGCCTATTCCGGAATAAGAAAATTCCTGCTGTTCTCACTGCATTTCGTTAACCCCGGATATCGTGTATGTTATGATTGGACATACTTCGCATCTGGCCAGCTGCGATACGCTCCATTGCGTAGTACCGGACTATTTTTCGTTTCTGTTCTCATTCATTTGCTTAGCACCGCAATTGCGGGGTTAGCAGGAGTTAGCACCACAATTGCGGAGTTAGCCCTGCTATTTTGCAGGGTTAGTTAACCCCGTACTATAGGTGGGGTTACCCAACTTTAGCCCACTTTGGTAAAAACCAGTCTGAACAGAAAGTGGAATAGGCTTAACCCCGTACTATAGGTGGGGCTAAGACCCCCCTTAACCCCACCTATAGTACGGGGTTAAGCAAAATATTGCCAGTGTGAAAACAGTATAAGCCTGATCCCTATTTTCATTCTCTTCATCTTCATACTTATCTGTACACCCTACCAGCATGTACAAGTTCCAGTTACATCCTTTTATAGAAAACCTTAGGGGAGCGCGTAGGCTCAAGCACACTTGTCTATTTCGTTGAGAGTCATGATTTAAGGGACATCATGTTGTAGTGGCGTCTACGAGAGGGTTATTAGCATTTTGCCTACCTAAAGGAAGTAATCATATCTCATGGGTTTCCTATTTCCTACTGGGCTTAAAGGGAATGAGGGGGGGGGGGGTAGGGACAGACAGAGCAATTTAGGGGCATGTTGGACAGGTAGAAGGTAAAAGGAAATAAGTAGAAGAGAGACGAGGAAGAATATTACAGTGAGAAAGTGACCGTTAGAGAGAGGGGAAGAGGAGGAAAAAACAGAGACATGAACGAGGCAGGATAGAGGCGGGGGGGGGGGGGGGGGGGGGGGGGATCAGAGGACACGAAGAGAGACAATAGAGTAGAGAAGGAGAGTCTCATGACAGGGGAAGACAGAGGAAAGAGGGAGATACACAGTCATGCTCACAGAGAGAGAGACAGAGAGAGACAGAGATACAGAGAGACAGACAATGACATAGAGAGAGTGAGAGAGCATGCATCAGTATGTTTCCATGGCAACATGGAGTCATGATATACACAACTGTAGAGAGGAAGGAGAAAAAGCGAGAGAAAAGGAGAATATTGTTGTTTATCAATAAGACAGAGAGATATAGAAACAGTGAGTGAGAGTAATTTAAGTAAAGGTGAAAATCAGACTGAAAATATAGATTGTCAACAATCAGAGTATGAGAGAGAGAGAGAGAGAGAGAGAGGGAGAGAGAGAAAGAGAGAGAAAGAGAGAGAGAGATAGGGGAGGGGGGAGGTATAAGATGGCTGGGAGAGACAGACAGTCCTGCTGTTACCAACTGTTTGACCATGGACTGAGTTCCTATGGCATGGTGCACTCAGGGCTTCCTCGAGATACGTTTGGCTACACCCAAGTACCATTACAAGTTGTTGAGAGTCAATACTTGAGCTCAACAGAGAGTCAAGACTGCTTGGAGGGTAAACATAATTTGCTAAAACTGGATTATGCAGATACATGTACAAAACAAAGATTTGACATTTTCGTTCATCAATTGATAGACGAATAATGCCTCTGGCACCACTTATGTGGGCGGAGGCATAACAAATGGTGAACTGAACCAATTCTCAAATTCAAGGATATGCATTGCTTTCATCCATCCACTGTTCTATTTATTGCTGAGATTTCTAAAAATTGATTTTACCTCCTTTAATTTGTTTGTCTACTATTAAATCCCTAACCAAGAAAATTTCACTACATGGAAGAAAGAAAAACCTTCTCGTTTGCCTGCTACATTTTTTGGACATAACAGGAAGATGCTTGATGCTCAGCATTTCCATTTATTCAGGATTTCCTGTCACCTTCTTTTATTAAAGACATCCCACTGTGTAAATGATCCCCTCTCCACTGTACTGTCTGGAGGACTTTTATTTTATTACTTTTACCGGTACTACTCGCAACAATGTGCTCATGAGCAAGGTTTCCGATCCTCATAATTCATATCTATCTATAACTACAAAACATATCAATCACATAACCTCATTACACTAATTCGGCCGTACACTAATCAATGTTATAAACTGGTTTCAAGAAAAAACGTCAAAATGGATCATGTGACCGTGCACATTTTTTTTACTATCTGCACGGTACCATCTGCATGGGGTGCATTATGGTGTTTACAACCATGGATGATGGTTGCAGGGAGACATCTTACGGCCTTGCTAAGTAAGATTGTCGACCCATTTTATGAAACAAATAAAACACAGGTATTCATTCGTGACGTTATGGCGATGCAGCGCTATTCTGGCCTACATGTATATCAGGCCTTCTCAACTGGCGGCGCGCGCGCCACTTGTGGCGCTTGTGGTCAGTCGGAGTGGCGCGCGACTGTTGCAACAACAAAACAAAAAACAGAAAGAAAGCAAATAGACCAATACTCAGCGAAATCAAGAAGTTGCAGTCGAATTTGAGCCCAAAGTGCCTGCTTAACAAACAGGAAGAAAGGGGAATTTATCGTTTTCTACCATTTTATACGAATGTAAACCTAAGGTCTGAACAACAATTAGCTTACGATCAATTCGATGGGATACCAATTTTAAAATTACGTATCTCTGGAAACATCTTGTTTTTGTTTGTTTGATTTTCACTTTATTTTGACATTTCTCGTGTTTATTGGACACCAAAAACTACATATAGAGTCAAAATATACCTCCAGTGTAATGGTACCCAGGAATTGTACTAATTTTATCACATCAAAATGAAATTATGATTGATTATATTGTGGAATGAAATGGTGCTAAAAATGCCCCATTTGGGCTTTTAGAAAGCCCTAAATCCACCAGCTTCAGGGGGCTTCGCCCCTGGACCCCAACGATTTTCGGCTCGGTCGCTACGCTCCCTCGCAGCACAGTCAACCATACAAGGGTGGCACTTCAACTACAAATTATTTTCGTTTTGGCACTTCTAATAAACTAGTTGAGAAGGCCTGATGTATATGGACTCTGCTTTATCGCACCACAGTGAATACCCTCGTGCGCTGCATCGACCATAACGCACTCACATCTGTGTATTATTTGTATAATATAACACATGTGCCTAGCATAAAGAGTGCAGACACAAACACATGTTTAGTCAAAATCTATTGACTATTTAGTTTTGATTACTGATTCACTGTCAACAATTCTAACAATGTACGTAAAGAGTCTAAATGTTGTGCACTGATACATGTATAATATTGTATAGTCCAAACTCCAAGGATAGTACAAATTTTAGTACCGGTATGCACTTTTTTAATAAATTCTGAAATTAATATATATTGTCCAAACATCCATCTGTATCCTTCTGATGGGAACATCCAAACCAAGATTCCCGAAACCCCATTCTTAAAGGTAAAGACCAGTTTTGGAAACGCCCCCCCTCTCAAAAAATGAAATGGAAGCTTTTATTACCAATCATGTGAAAGAATATGTTTTGACTAATACGTAATGATTCAAATTTTGCAGAGAAACCGTCTACTAATTGATATATTTGGTAAAATATCATATTTATTTGGACCTGATAGTTATAGCACACGTGTCACGCAGTCCTATACATCTTTCTGTGTACAGTGTTTGTCACTTTACCAAGACTGGGCCAAATTTCTTATAATTTTGATGATTCCAGAACCTTGCAGTACACACCAATACTTATATGCTATATAGATGATCAACCTTTTCTAATCGATTCCACAACGTTTCTTTCACAATGCAATCGCATGACCATAACTGGTCTTTATCTTTAACCCCCTTCTACTTCCGGACTTATTCTTCTCAAAGACGGTCACTGTCCACTGTCTCACTATCACCCATATGACCACTCAGCTAGCCTTCACCTTAGCCCTTAAATCCATTGCTCTCTGCTGTCATATATCTTATTGACCTACAGTACAACGGTTGCATCCATATTTTCATGGATGCAACATATTGATCACCTACGTCACAATAGTGTTTGGACACCCTCTGTCAACAGCTCGATTGTAAAGTAAACAAAGCCAGCTAGAGCAAGGCTGGGAAGGGGATCGAGGCACAGAGCCTAACCGGGTCTCCGAGCGTTCTAATTAGATTCCAACCCGACCCCGACGAACGACACAGATGCAGATATTTACATCTACACCCGATAAGATCTAGTATCAACAAGACAGATGCCACGTAATTGCATTAATGCACATTTAAATAATTGAGTATCTATCAATTGATAAGACTAAACTCTATATTTGATGCACTGTTTACATTGAGATTAAAATATTGTGATATATACTTCCGTTTACTTTTGTCGGCATCCATACAGAAATGCTTTATCTTCCATGGGACAAAAGTCAATTCACAAGGGTGACCTCCTTAGTCCTCCCTCAATAATAATTGTAGTACTTAAGATTGAACAAACTTACAAAATGTCAAAATTCCTGGCTGGGAACAGAATAAGACATTGATTCAAACTGGTCCTCCCTCTAAAGATGGATTTCATAGTGGCTCTTAAGAGTAATAGAGGTACATACAGTAAGGGCATAATTTGGAAGTCTAATGACATACAAAATTGTGCACATTATATTTAAATAAATGATTTTATGCTTCTCTGTCCTTTTTTTTTGGGGGGGGGGGAGGGTCTTTCATTGAATCTAGAACAATGCAATGTTTGCAATTTATTACTATTGGAGGTTGCAGAAAATTAAACACAACCATCATCAAATAAAAATCTCCACAATTCCTTGACTGAAAGTTATTTACACAAACCAAATGAAAGCTGAAAACTAGATCACAACAATTACGTCCCACTATAACTGAAATGTAAATAACAGCAAATTTATAGGGCTTCTCACGACAGGTGGTGGTGGTGGTGGTGGTGGTTATTTTACCTGACTGCTAAAGCATAAATGCTTGTTAGTAAGCAACCAGACGGCTGACGGCTTTAGGTCCTCTCCAAGGGATCTGGTAATGAGGAGTAATGCATTACCAAAGGACACTAGCGCATCGCCTTGGTTTTGAACCCGGGTCACCAGATTACAAGACCACTGCTCTACCAACTTAGCTATCGCGGTTAAAGCAATATCCATTCATTTTCTATATATATACATGTATGTGTGGACAGTGTGAAGTATTGTATTTCACCGATCCAAGGTTCATTACATGTCTCATTTGGCACCTGTTCATTATGACGTAGCCCATATATAACATCTGCCTGTAACACTGCTTCATGGTCTACCGCGGATCTACCAAGTGCCCTTTACACAGATTTTAATACACAGTCGACACAATGTCGTGCACTGAAGACAATTTGCAAGACATTACATATTTACATTAAAAATTAAACCCCTATGAATGCAACAAAAACACAAGAGGTAAAAAACAAACAAAAAACAAACATACAATACAACATATCTTTACTAGTCTCAATGCAAAAATGTGTGCAATTTCAATCATAATACACACACAAACCTGATATTCAACGGATGACTATTTTGTCAAGTACAGAAATCTCATGCAAACTTTCTGCTGGACAAGTTCAAAATGAAAGAAAATTTCTGTCTTTGTTGCAAAAAAAATGATACAAAATGTTCAAATCATAGTTACAAAATATTAAACTTAAAAATAAAAGTTTGAAATGAAAGAAACGTTTCTATATTTGTGTAATGAGACAAAATACAAAATGCTCAAATTGTAGTTACAGGGTTTTTCTTATATATATATATATCTTAGCTTACCTTGGAAAAGTCTGATAAAACCAATAACGACAATGATGACCAATGCTAGTAACTTTGCCGCAGTGAATATAACTTGGACGGCATTGGCCCACTTAACGCTGTAGCAGTTGATGAAGCATATAAGACCTGGAAGAGGGACAAAAAGAGTAACAAAAAAATAATAATAATAATAATACATTTATAGAGCGCAGAAACTATCCGACATTGATTCTACTGCGCTACAAGAGCTCCTGATATACTTAGATTTACAGTTCATTGAAAAGATGTGCTTTCAGTTTTGATTTAAAGATATTCACAGATGTTGATCTCCTGACTTCAAATGGTAAGTTAAGTTATTCCAGAGTTTTGGACATAGTGAAATTCAATCATCATGTGCAGTATATCCTTACTTATAGGTGATCTCCCTGGCATTAACTGTCATAAAAAACAATGTGTGACATTTTTAGCTGAACAAAAGATGTAATCCTGATGAATTACTACATCAAGATACAAAGGGAAAGTATCCTGATCACAGTACCAATAGAATGGTCAGTTTTAAACATAGGAAAACATTACAATCAAGTCTCTGCACTTTGATCTAAAATCTGTTCATAGCTGGGCATTGGGAAGGTAATAGAAAGAGCTTTTGGCCTAGTTGGCGTTTTTTCTTCCCCCTATCAGGTGATCATAAGAGAGTAAAATGTAGTAAAATATCATGATTTAAAGTCAATAAAATCAAAAAAACATTTTAATGAGTGCATTTTTGTCTGCTTAGAGTAAAAAGGGCAGTATAGTTTAAAGCCCCACTGCACTATTCATAGCTACTTGCACCCTCTATACAGCCAACAATGCCTAAGTGGTGACCGTTGGTCCCCCATGGTCCTCCTTTTCTTATGTTAATTGAGAGCTGATTTGATGAGAAAACCACCTGCCAGTGACCTTGCAGGAAGGTTTTATCCCTCCATGGCCAAACTAGTGCAGAGGGGCTTTAAAACCAAGTCAATGCCCTTCCAGCTCTCAAAAAACAAAAATACAAACAAACAATCATCAAAAGATAGTAATATCTGACATGATTTATTAGCGAGTCTTACCGATTGACAGCGCGGCAAATATCTTCATCAGCATGACCTGTTCGTTGCCGTCGCAGGTCGACATGCAGGACTCGACGACGTACGTGCCCGTGATGAGGGACACGATGGAGATGATGGAGGGCTTGATGACCAGGGTGTACGTCCAGGAGAAGATGAACGCCGGCATGGGACCCCAGATGTCGTTGAGGTAGGCGTGCTCGGCACCGGACTTGTGGATGAGGGTGCCTAGCTCGGCATACGAGAGGGCGCCTGGTAGGATAACAGACATAGGGGATACAAATTTGAATGGAACATAAATACAGTCAAACCTGCTTTAGTGACCACCTGTCTACAAAGACCACATTTTTTGTTTCCCTTGAAAATGGTTTCTCATTGAAACATGTACTATAGGCACCTGTACATAAAGACCACCTGCCTATAAAGACCACTTTTATTGTCTCCCTTGGGTGGTCTTTATAAACAGGTTTCAATGTACGGTATATACATGCAGGTAGCTTTAATAAAACATATGTGTAGCTCAAAACAAGAGAGATGACCAGATTCTTGTTCTTGACACCAGATTTTTGGATTTTTATTCAGTGTACAATAGGACACCTGGTAGGCTGGTACATATTATGAGAAAAGACGTTGGAGATTTATACACTTGATGAAAATGAAGACAACATGCACCTTATAACTCTAGACTTGATCCTGGTTTACTAGACATTTGAGCATTGTTTTTTTAAAACTTAAATGAAAGTCTTATAGATAAAAACTGAGATAAAGACCTTGATTCAGTGCTAGGGATCAATCAAGTCGCCACACTTTCCAACAACAATCAGCAGAACTTTTGAAGAAAAAAACAAACAACAACAACATACATGTAAACAAAAAGACCAGTCTAAAGCCACTGGCCAAGGCACACCACAGATCAACAATCAATTATAGTTGAAATTTAAGGTCATTTTTTTGGGGGTGGGTTCAAATACTTTGTCCTTGACACCACCTAAACGTTAAAAAAAAAGGGAATGAAAATTGGCATTTTGATATACTTTTTACACTCTACTAAACAGGTGTGGAACTCACCGGTCATGGCCAGTATAGCACAGAGGAGCCATATGATCATACTCATACCAACGCTCTGTGTTTCTCTCAGGATGCCTTTCGGCGATACAAAGATTCCAGATCCGATCATCGAACCGACGATCAGGGCTACGCCGCTCAATAAGCCAACCTGTCGTGATGGAAAGAAATCATTTCAAGAATTCATGAACCGCTCATATCAGTGATGGAAGTGTAGACGATCAGTCAGGGTTTTAGTTTGGAACGCTTAACGAAAGGGGGAACAAATCCATTATTGAATCCATAATCAGTACTAACCAACTCAATAAGCCAACCTGTGATATAAATAGAATTTATCAGATAAATACAATGTAGAAGTCAGTTGATATTTCAAAAAAATATCAAAATTCACATCTTAATTCTGTTACAAACATCATTGTAGAGCACCTTTGAAAATGTGTATGGAAAATTTTGCAATCTATAAAGATTATCATTATAATTATTATTTCAAAATCAATTAATGTCATTCTAAAAAGAACAAAATTAGACAATTTTGATAACATTTATTTCCTGTATTTTTCTAGTCTTCAAGCGAATCAAATAGGCCATATTTGTAAAGTAACACAATTTAATGCAATCTTCTTTGTGAAGTGCCTCACCCAAATTATTTCATTAACCTGTAGTCAAAATGCGAATGGCATACAGCATTTGTTGCTACATGTAGGTACGATTTACCTTTTGACAATTAAAATATAATTCCCAATATTCTTCACAGGTGAAAGAAATAATTTGTATCGAGGCACTTCACAAAGATATGCATTAAATTTTTTTACTTTACAAATATGGTTACATTACGAAAATGGCCTACATAATACAAAGAAGGGGATTTTTTTAAAGAACTCTTCTACAGAAGCATTTACCTCTTGTTTGAGTCCTACTTTCTCATGGCTGACGGTATCGTCTGCAGCTTTCTCCGCATCTCCGTTCATTTCTTTCTTCTCTTTCATCTCCATGGCGACTAGATGTAGAACGTCGATTGAATGATAATCTGGGATATTCCCTGCTCTGGGCTGTCAGATCAAATACACTCTACGTGAAGTTGAAGAAAAAAAACATGTGGAAGAGGTTGTTACATATTTTAAAAATATTTTACTTCCAAAACTGATCATGATCTTGCTCTAATATGACATCTTTTATCATGCCCGAAGCAAACTGATAATTAATTAGAAATGGGATAATGCCAACTTTTATATCCTTATTTCTATTTTGAGAGACATCAACCTGCTGTTGAGCAAAGCCAGGGAAGCTTCCAGTTAAAACCCACCAGAAATGCAAGTCATGACGATGATGTTAGAAAATCTGTAATAATTTCAGCCAACACACAACATACCTGTAATGATCTCTACATGGATCTTTGAGATAATGTTCCAGAACTAAAGAGTAAAACAGATATTACATGCTATAATGCAATGATTTCTCTCTTTATAACTGCTGCCGTCACAGTCACATACCCTACCATAACGTACAAGTGTATGTTTTCTCTGGGACAATACAAGCAGACACAACATTTGAACGTAGATCTGAGGAGTTCAACAAACAATCAAACAAAAGATGTATGGTTTGCACGTAAATGAACAAAAATGCTACGTCATGCATAAATACCACAAGTCTAATCTCTAGTTGTAGCCCTACTGCCCTACATATGTCATTTAGGAAAACTATCAGAATAAAATGAGGAAAAATACTAAGTCTTGCCCACGTTTGCTAATAACTCGGGCCTACATGCATCAACATGAACACTTTTGAAGAGTTGCACAAAAAAAAATCAAATGTATCTTCTATTCTGAACATTTCAGACAAAGGAGCCCCCAATGTGCTGTGCTGTAGCACTATGTAGACAAAGTAGAAAAACAGAGATAAGACCATCAGAGGTTAAATAGAAGTTCATGTCTGCATGCATTCACTTGGTAATAGAGACCTAATGACCTGATAGCACATACCAGACAGATGAAGATGAATGTTCTACTGTGTGCTTCTCTTCTTCCGCTCCTTCTCTCGATCACTCTCTCTATCTCTCACACACACTCTCTCTCTCTCTTTCTCTATCTCCTGCTTTCTCTCTCCCCTCCTTGCGCCCCTCTCTTACTACATTGTACATGCATGTGCTTCTTTCTCTCTGAATTTGTTTCTTTCTCTCTTTCTCTCTGTCTCTCTGTCTCTCTTTTCTCCAACTCTTTCACTCTCTTTTTCTCTGTTCCTCTCCCTTTCTTGCTCTCTCCCTATCCCCTCCTCCTCCTCCTCCCCCCCCCCCCCCATTGCATCAACTTCCCCTCTCTCTATCTCTCTCCTATACATGTACAGTGAGTATAAAATTTAAAAAATGTACCCAATTTTGGTAACTTATAATTATAAAGTTATAACCTATGTAACCTTGAATCATATATCATGCTAATGTATAACTTATACCCTGTCTAATCATACCATATTCATAATTATGCTGTCAAGGATGACTGAGCAGCAGGCTTTTCAAAAATTATTGTCAAAATCCTCTTGTACCAAGTTTGGGCTGAAGCAATGAATGTGGATCAAAAGCCATTGTGTCATCTCATTCCAGACACAGACACAATTGCTCACTTATTTACGTTGACTATTTAAGGCAGTTGAAAAGCAATGGTGTTGATATCAGCTCAAACACAAGGAAGTGCTTTAATATTACAAGCAACATTTATGATTTTCTCTTCGTTATGATGATTACAATCTTGACTTCCTTTGCATCCCTTGTTTGAGGTAACCCTTCTCATTGAGTGATACAAAATGGATAAAGCTTATTTGGATGTTATCTTTTTAAAATTAAAGTCTTCTGTGAATTTCTTTGATACTTTATCATCATATGTATTCTTTCTTGCATTTGGGTTTTGTAACCTCTGAGTTTTCAAAAGTTAAGAAACCGGTATTCGATATAAACAAATTTTGCTCCTTATGCATGTGAGATGGCACAGCCTCACTTAGCATAGATATTATCAGTCTAACTGGGTCTGCAAACTCAGACTAGTCCGTTTCCCATTGCATCATTATGAAAGCAGACAGTGTAGTAGAGTGTGCAATGTTTTGGTCAAGACAAGTTTTGATTGGCTGAAAGCCCATTTGCTGACCTCACGGTGAACTCGATTGGTATTCAGTCCAGACACACTCCCTTGCCTTGTTTTTGACTTTATGAGGTCAGCAAAGATGAACAGAAAGAAGTGACTGGATAATACAGGATTTTCTCTCCGTTTGTTTACATCAAATTGCTTCAATAGGCCTGTCTTCATCAGCTCGAGCTTGCCAAATAACCTGCTTTTTTCAGTAACGGGATATTATCCCGAAGCTCAATATTGCGTCTTCACCAGACTGATATCCTCATCACTAACTACAGTTGTAGCTTAGACGGGCACAAATTAGCTTGCTATCTCTCAAATCGCAGGATATTTTGGAAACAAGACCAAGATTTCTTGGGATATTTTCTCGACCAAATATCCCGCTAATTGCAACTGCGGGCTGATGAGGACGCAATTTAACAGGTTAATTTTAATTTGCGATAGGGATAGCTAAAATAGCAGGTTATTTAGCAAACTCGAGCTGATGATGACAGGCCTAATGTAAGACTACCAATGCCTGTTATACCAATGGCTAGGCTAATGGGCTTCATATACTAGTACATTGAAGCTCAGAAAATGAAGCTACGACTGTTTAAATAATCATTAATCAACACCCAAATAGCATGTACTTGTATGGATCGAACCAGTTATTGATGTCTCTAAGCTGCAATACATTCTCAACTTGATGAGTTATATTACACGTATGAAGGCCTGCATGTACATGTAGGCATTTTGCCTGTAGCCCTCTAGTGCCATGGCACTTACAAAATGTCAAGTGGGGACAGCATATACAGCCCCCCTCCCCGCCACCCCTCCCCTGCCCCCATCTTAAAGGAGAAGTCCATCCTGATATCAAGTTGGTTTTAATAGAATCACACACATGAGAGAAACAGGTCCGTGAAAAGTTGAGCGAAAACCATTAAAAGTAAGAAAATTATGAAGGAAAGTTTAGGAAGGTACGATCAATCAAACATGAATTGGCAACTCTGTGACCTTTCTTGCGAGCTGCCCTTACATTTGCCCTACAAAAAAGGACTAAATTTGTAAATTTTTTCAATGATGCATCACCCTAAACATATTATTGCAGATAGATATGTTTTTATACAACCCCTGTATGAAACAAGTCTATTCCCTAATCAATAACTAATAAGTAGTTCATTTACTTCATCGAATTTCGTTGAAACTTTCACTGACACGTTTCTCTCATTTTTCTGCTTTTATTAAAACCCAACTTAATATCAGTGTTATATGCCTGGAGACTACCAGGAACTACGGTTGACCATGAAACCACCAGGCATGGGATTGATAAGTATAGGTGTATACATGTACATGTAAGTCTAAATTAGAAGACTATTGTACAAGTTCATTCATCTATAACATAAACACTCTGCTGTACAGGTTCACAAACCCGCTTTCAACCCAAAAATTCCCCAAGCAAAGGGTAAGATACAAAGAACCTGCAGAATTTACTAACAAAGCACATACTAGATTCGAAGTGAATAGAAACCCACAGTGCCATGATTAATGAAAAGGGTGTGGCAGATTGAATTTTCAGATGATGCACATGTGAAACGAATCATAACAAACCACATAGGGAATTTCTTTCTTCCAAAGAGAAATATTGCAGCTTTTTTTTGGATTTATTGTACAGGAGAACTTCTCAAAGCAGTTTTTACATCCTTTTTTAACGAAATTAAAATTTTAAAAAATTCGAGGGGGGAGGGGTCATTGTTTCTTTATGTTCAATCACTAACCACTCAAACATACCTTTTCTACTGGACTTCTAAACCATGTTAAAGGTTGTGACTGATGAAATAGCATACCATACTTATTTTGAATTAAAAAACAAACAATCATATTTACAATGTAGGTAGAATTTGCAACCCAGATTCATTGTCAAATATGAAAATAATTCACATTCAGACAAAAGGTACAGAAGTGGTTCTTGCTTCATCGTTCAAACCAAGAATAAACCAAAAAGTGAACTACAAAATGAATGACCCACTTCTTCTGTTGGTTCTGACATTTTACCTCAGATTTAAAGAGTTGATAACCTCTATCAAATAGGGATTTTCAAACCTGTTAAATTGAACGTCTGCATACATGTACATGTACATGGACTACCAATTTGATAACTAACCAAATAAAATAAAAATATCTTTATGACACCTGCGATGACATTATCTGAACAAAATTCTCAGCCTGTTATAAAAATGACAAGTTAACTCCTTCATAGCAAACATGAAATAAAGGCCTAAATTAAACTAGACTCTGGTTTATTGCTTCATTATGAATGTCTACTTGGAGCCAGGACATTTATGAACATTTTTTATGAGTTTACAACGGATCTCACTAGACAAAGTACATTGTACAGTAATGGTCTAACGAAATGGAGGTGTTGTCGTATAGTGGTTCATATACTTGACTCTTGTTCCTAGGGTTGGGAGTTTGAATCCCAGCCCAGCACTAACATCCTTTTGCAAGACATCAATCCACATTTTCCAGTCTCTCTCCACCCAGGTGTAAATGGATACCTGGCAATTTTCTGGGCTATAATTGCAGGGCCAGCAGGAAGAATAGTATCAAGACTGATGTAGCAGCTACCCTGGATAAATAAAACCCAAATATGAATGTTTTGACTTCTCATCAGAAAATGCAGGTGCCGCCATGTTTGCTTTAAAAGAGAGAGCGCTTAGCGCTGACAACCTGTCACACACCATACAAAGAGAGAATACCTCTGTACTAATCAGATTATGTTTTGAGGATCCTTACAGGTTGTTTGCAATGGAATTATGGGTATTTGAGAGAGATGAAAACTGGAAATATTTTCATCCTCACCATTGTCTTGATGGGATTCTTAAGTTGATGAGAGGGTAATCGATGACGATGATGATCTTCTTCTTCCGCTCTCTAACTTAATCCCTATACCTGCATCTCCTTAACATCTTATCTTTGA